AGCTTTGAGTTCCAAGTCACAGACCCTGCAGGAAACTCCATGCTTCCTGAAGTGTACATATATCCTCTCTTGTGGATCATTTGTTTAGATATCTTGCAAAACTTTCACTAACATGTGCACAGTGCAGTTACTGAATGTTAAAGGTACATAAGTACACTTCCAATGTAAAAAAAAGAGAGAGAGAGAGATGAATAATTCTTTTTCCCCCCCCCCTAAATTAGAATATTTATATATTTACATTGGGCAGGTCCAAGACTTGAAACAGACACAAAATTACACATGTGCACCTTTACAAAAGATAATAATTTTACCAAATGACTCACTGAATTCTTAATGTGATTTTATAATAAATAAATAATATTTATTTACACTATATAAATATATATATGTGTGTGTGTGTGTGTGTGTGTGTGTGCGTGCGCGCGTGTGCAATATAAAATATATTTATGTATATGATATTCTATTCTATTTGATATTATATTATTTATGTCAAATTAGGAATTCAGTGATTAATTTAGTAAAATTATCAGCATTTTATACAATATAAATATATCAAATTATGTAAAAAATGTATAATAAAATATTAACATTAATTTATAGAAAAATAAACATCATTATTAATAATGTTAAACAATATATGTTCTATTGTTTTTCTATTAAATGATTCAGTGGGTCATTTGGTAAAAATAATTTAGGGTTTTATAAAAAATATAGATTAGGACAGTTGACAAAACTGATCAGGAATTTATCTGAATTCTAGACAAAATAATTTCAGTCCCAATGTACTTTTCGTCGGCCAACACAGGATGGAATTGAGGTGGTCTCGTGTGGAGCTGTCTGCTTCCTGTTATCGTGTTTGTGAGAATGCAGGAACTCTAGCTGTGCAGGTGGTGCGCAGTGGGAACAGCAGAGATCCGGCGTACATCGCTATACAGGTGCGCTAAACTAGCTTGTCCAGACTTACTATCCTACATAGATGGAGTTTGATTGAATACTGTTATCTTACAGGTGGAAGAGGGAACAGCTAAAGTCGGGAAAGACTTCACTCACAGTTCTGCCAGTCTCGTACAGTTTGATCCAGGTGGTTATCGCGTCAAACTTCAGCTGTTTACGTTTACTGTTTGATTTTTTTTTTTTATCTTTAGAATATGCCAGCCCGTTCTCATCCCAAGGCGTCATATACTGACGCGCGTCTATATCCAACGCACATGATGGCACCCTTTAGCGTCAATATGAGACGTAGATATATGGCGCCTCCTAGTGGTCTAACCCTAACACTACCCCAGACCAAAACCTAGCCATAACCTAAGCGTGTTATATTGACGCTAAAGGGTGCCATGTGCGTCGGATGTAGACGCTTTGGCAAAAGCGTCAGTATATGACGCCTTGGGATGAGAATGCGTTGAATATGCTGAACCTGTGCTTTATGTTTGTGTTTAGGTGTACATGTCAAAATGTGGAACATTTACCTCAAAGATGATGGACTAGAAGAGAACCATGAGAAATTTGATGTGGTTCTGAAGACTCCAAAAAATGCTGTTTTGGGACAGAGGAACAAGGCCACAGTTGAGATTGTGGATACTAGAAATGGTAGAAAGAAGTCTTCTTCTACAATCTTGTAGTTCTACATGCCCACGTTCTGCTGTTTTATATATATATATATAGCCAGAGAATATTTCCATCTTCCAGGCAAGTGTAATCCAGATGACCTTGTTGTTGAAGAAGATGAGAAGCAACATCCTTTCCAAAGCCCACCCTACGTCCCAGAGCCTGAACCACCCCTACTGGAGGAATACACTCCAGACCCAAGGAGCGGAATCTTTTGGGGGAACTATCCGCCAAGAGGGGACGTCCCAGATCGCACTCACTTCAGCCATTTCAGCGTGGGAGAACCTCAGGACCACTTTCACAGTCAAGGCCAAAGACAGCTGAGAATCCTGGGTAGAAGCAGACACAGAGTGAGCCAGGTCACCTCAGCTACAACATTTACTTCATCTAATATCTAGTGTGGTATTTAAATAATGATATTACTATTATTAGTTCATACTAACATCTGAGTGTGGTTTTAGGCACATCTGTCAGAGGTGGACAACAGAAATCAAGAAAGGGTTTGGAGAGTAAGTTTTATATATTTTGGTTCTGCCTTCAATTTTGTTCTTTACTAAACTTCAGAGTTTATTAATTAGTTGTACTTATGTGTTTAGAAAGTAGCTAATCATTTAGTTGTGTTGTTTGTTTAGTATTAGATTTTTTGGGGGGATGTTTGGTTGTCTTATTTTTTAGAATAAGCAGTAGTATTTATTTATTAGTTTTAAATATTTAATATTGTTTTTATTTCTTAGTTTATTTAATTATTAGTATTTATTTATTTTTTTGTCTTATTTATTTGTAGTTGTAGTATTTATTCATTTATTTATTTTGGTTGATTGGTTGTAATATTATTTAATTATAGTAGTGGTATTGTTTTTGTTTTTATTTAAAAAAAATATTTAATTGTTTTTTTTAATTGTTTTTTTTTATTTCTTAGTAATATTTATATATTGCTATTAGTAGTATTTATTTATTTATTTGGTAGTGTTATTTATTTAGTATTATTTACTATTTTTTATTATATGTGTGTGTTTGTTTATTTATTTATTAGTACTATTTATTTATTTATTTGTTTGTCGTATTATTTATGCATTAGTAGTATTAGTAGTATTATGCATTTAGTGTTAGTTTTATTTATTTGTTAATATTTATTGTTATACTTATTGGTTTCAGTATTGAGAACATTATTAATACTATTTAATATATTTTTTTAATATAATTTAATTTTGTCTTAGTTTTATGTATTTGATTATTGGTATTATTTATTTATTAATACTATTTTATCTATTGGTTTCAATATTTAGAGTATTGTCTATAACATTTCATAGTTTAATATAATTTAACCTTTTATTTATTTACATATGCGTGCATACATCATAATGTGCCATGTGCAGGACTCAAAATGTGTGATAATTCGGTCCTCCATTAGTTCCATGGACTGATCCCAGTGAGAATAGAGGAAAAGGCGGCAGCTCCTCGTGTCCACTCTGACCTGGAGATCACTCCCATCTGGACCTGGCCGGGATATGCCGCTGACGCTGAATCAGTAGAAACTCCCCAGCGGGACTCAGCCTCTTTGGTCATTGATTCAGGAGTGCGACAACACAAGGTATTATAGCTTATCCCTACACTGGGAATCAGCTGTCGTGTATTTTTAGATCAAAAAGAGAACATCACATGGCAATGTATAGTATGTATTGTTTTGACTTTGTGTCCTACTGTATGTTTCATCTATCAATATAGATTTTCCTTCATACTTTCTCAAATGTTATGAGCTTTCATTACATAATTCTTTCCTCTCTTTTTAAAGTCTCAAAAGCCTGTTAGTATAGGTTGTCCTAAAGGCTGGACTCACTACAGGAGGAACTGTTATATTTTGGGGCCTGGTATTGCTAGCTGGAGCAGCGCACAACATGTTTGCATGCTGTATGTTATACCTCTATATATGCATGCATTCATACTACATACGCATTTGCCTTTTCCACTACTAAATATTAATGTTATGACTCCAACATTTAGGTTTGAAAGTCAATTGTCAAGTATCCACTCAAAGACTGATATGAAGTGGATATGGAAGTTTGCTGGAAGGCAATCGTTCTGGATCGGTAAGCAAGCGAGAGACGTATATTCTGTGCGGTACTTTTTTGTAAGGACTGAATGTAAACTTTCCCCTTTAATTGTGCAGGGCTCATGGGGGGTCCAAAGCAGTGGTCCTGGACGGATGGAAAACCACTGAAATTCTCCAAAATCAAGAAGGATCATGAGATCCACACGAGCTCTGCCTGTGTTTTAGCTGAGAACCAGAAGATATGGATTCCTAAAAGTTGCACTGATGGATCCGAACACAGATACGTTTGTTCAGCACCTGCAGAAATCAGTTAAAACACATATTTATTTTATAATGGTTTTTATTAATGATTTAAAATACATTGTAGCAGTCATAGCACTGAATAATTATATTTCAGCTCCCAATGACATGCTTAATGTGTTATTAAAATAAATATGATTGTTATCAAATAAATTTGATAAAAAGAGGACCTTTTATGGAGTTATTTATTTGTGGACTGTTTTATAATTTAACTGGTGAATTAATTGTTACAATAATAAAACTGTTAAGGAGAGCTAAATATATTAATTATGATGTTATGATATATTTATAATTGTATTATTGAGAGACATCAAAAAATCCATTCCTTAAGGTAGAAACCAATATATTTTATTCATTTATTATTTAATTACATTTTTATTGTTTTTTTTTTTATAATATATTCCTGAGTCTCATATTTTGGTTTCAACATTAAACAGGGACATGGTACATTAAAATGATTAGGAACATATTTTATTCACATTTATATTTCTTGGTTCTTGTTTTTTTATATAATATAATTAAACATAAATAATATATATCACAGCATAAAGATGCATTTGAAGTGCTGCACAGGGTGTAAAATATCGGTGCTCTTTGGTTGCTTGGGATAGTAATGCTCAAAATCAAAGTAATAATCCAAGGCACTCGAGTTGTGTATACAAAAAAGTAAAAAGCCTTTATTAAATCATGGCTTCTATCATTAAAATTGGTGACAGATACACCTACGCGTTGCGGCTATCGCCTTCGTCAGGGTGTGTGACACACACCCTGACGAAGGCGATAGCCGCAACGCGTAGGTGTATCTGTCACCAATTTTAATGATAGAAGCCATGATTTAATAAAGGCTTTTTACTTTTTTGTATACACAACTCGAGTGCCTTGGATTATTACTTTGATTTTGATAAATAATATATAATAACTATTAATAATATGTATTATATGGTTATAACTATAATAATAATATGTTTTGCGTTAGGAGACATAAAATAATCTAGGGTAGGAACTAATATATTTTGTGCATATTTTAAACGTGGTTCCGCCCGGACACTCATAGATGTTGGACGGGGAAAAGATGGCGGCGGCCATGGTACAAATGTCATGTTTGTACCGTGGGATGTTGGCGGTCAGGGCCACTGGCATCCGACCGCTGATTCCAGGACTTGTACCATCTCACTTCAGGGCGTTTTCCATAAAGAAAGAACCGGAGTTAGAGGAAAATCCGTATTATAATAAATATGAAGAGAAGATCAGGAAACTGCGCAGGTGAGGAGCTGTCAAATGCTGCTGATGTAGTTTCGATATAATATGTCAAATGTCAAGCATTAATCTAGTTTGTACTCCTGTAAAATCAGTTCAAAACCTCAAGAATATAAAGCCCGATTAGAGAAGCGCAGTGAGAAGAAGACGGAGCCGCTCGGACAGTCCAGACAAGCAGAGTTCGTGAAGTACATGGAGAAAGAGGTGATCACTGATGACATGAGCACATACAGTTAATTCTAGAAATGTATTAATTGAATAAATTCTAATTTTGTAAGAATTCAAAGACAAGTTATTATGATTTAAATGCATATTATATTTTTAAATAACTTTAATAAATTGTTTTATATATATACATTACTATAGACATAATCTAATGTACAAAAGACATAATTTTCTCATGTTGTCATATTTGTAGTTGGACAAACGTGGGAAAGCAGGAACTGGGGGCTTCACCAAAGATATGGTATTAATCAAACCTCATTAGTATTTAATTCCATATTGTGATTTTGAGACTTTGTGATTTTTGAACCTTTTTTGTTATTTTATAGACATTAGGATCTCTTCTTAACCTTGATATGGTTCAGGAGAAATCTGGATCTGAAATTGCAGAGGTAAGACAAATATTCATAGAACGACACATATTTTCAGTCTGCACTGAACTGTAAAATAATTTGTAGAAAGATTAAATAGACCACCTTACAAAAAGTCCTTTACTTTGTTGTGCAGCTTTGGATGCAGCACTTCTCGAAGAAAGACACAATTAGTGCCGTCATACCAGTGAGTTCTGTTTTATATGTAATCTCTTATCAGTCCATTAACTTCTGAAACAATACTAATAGAATAAACGTTTTTTGCTTTATTTCAATGCAATTCAATCTATTGTGATGAGAAGTCAAATTTTAGAACTGATTTTGTCATCAGATCTATAATGTTTTAACCAGATGAATAACCTTGTAATTCTCTATTATAGGGCTCAACATTTGATATTATTTTTGGCCGTGCCAAATCTTGCCCAACGGTAAGAATTTTAATACTCTGTAACAGAAAAGGTGAAGTACATTTTTTTAAATGGTCAAGTAAAATGTCATACCACCAAACAATAAAACCTGCAAAATGCTAAATGGCCACATAGTGGCAGTTGATTATTGAAAAATAGTGGTTTCAAGATTGAGGATTTTCAGTGTCTTTTGGATATCTTGATCATATCTGTGGCAACCGAGAGAATATCAGAATAATGTGATATTCGGTTCCATTTATGGTTCTCACCATAGATGGTAAAAAAAATGGTTGACTTCTCTACTTCCTTCCACTGTAGAAAAATTAGGCCAAAATATCCCAGTAACAGTCGTTGACGATTACGTCATTAGTGATCCTGAGATGTGTGATCCCGCTCACACCAGACTCAATTGCAAACACAGCTGTCAATCAAAACGTAACTCCCCATTTTTATAGCATCAAATAACTGGGATAACTAACTAAAACCAAACTTATTGGAAAAAACGAACGCTTGAACATATGTCAGCGTGATAAGAACTACTTAAAATGACAAAAAACATCTTTGGAATTTTTTAAAAGATTTTTTATAGATTTTTTTGGCTCATTTGATTACACGGAGAGGGCGGGAATTATGACTTGCACTGCAGCCAGCCACTGGGGAGCGATGGAAATGCTTTGGCTTCACTTTTCAGGACGTGTGCGTTCTTTCACCGACTGAACACAGGCTGTGTTCGAAATCGCCCCTCATTCACTATTCCCTAGATGACTCCACTAATATAGTTCACTTGAAGGAGTGATTGAAAACGAGTGAGTGACTTGCATAGTTTGTGCTTTCTGTTTATGATTATTTAAAGCTTAGCAAACTGGCAGCTCCAGTAATAATGAAAAGATTTATCTTGAACTCTGTCATGGAAACTATGTATAATCCTTAATTAAACAATTTAATAATCAATTAAAAAGGAATTGATACCTGTATGATATTACACTGTAGCCACATTGGACCAGCGGTTTGGAAAATGGATGGATGGATGATTCAGCTGTGAGCGCCATCTTCTGGTCAGACAAGGGAATTCATTCGGTGCGCGTCTCTCACAGTGCATTATGGGTTTGAGCGTACATCGGTTGTACAATTGTTATTGCGGTGCATTGTGGGATTGAATGAGTGCACTCGATAACATCCACTATGGTTTCGGACACCACTACAAATGTCTGTTCTCTCAAAGAGTGCCCTTTTTAACGGTATAGTCAAACGGTTAATAATACAGATTACATGTAATCAGTTACTACCCAGCACTTCTCACCAGCATTTGTATTGCCTTAAACTGAAATCCACTTAGTATTTATGAGTTTTGTCAATCTTTGTGCAGTTTCTGTATGCTCTACCCCAGAAGGAGGGCTATGAGTTTTTTGTCGGCCAGTGGGCTGGTCATGAGATGCACTTCACATCTTTAATCAATGTTCAGGTATTATATTTTTTAAATCTTTTAATATAAATTCCACACTGTTTTCTAGTTTAGATACTAAAAATGGCTTCTATTTCAGACTATGGGAGAAAATGCTCCCAGCCAGCTTATTTTATACCACTATACAGACCTGCAGAAGGACAAAGGCATCGTGCTGATGACCGCTGAGATGGATATCAAATTTGTGGTAAGTTCAATGAAATTACTAAGTAAAACAAAAAGCAAACTATGTACATTTTAATTCTTTTTTTTTTTTTTTGTAAACTTCTTTCAGACTGTCCACCAGGCACAGTGCTTGGCCAATCAGGTGCAGCTGTTTTACGGATCGCAACGGCTTGAGACTTTCCGATTGGTCGAGAACTTCAACCACCAACCAGAAGAGTTTAAACACATGTCTGTGATAGCAGAACTAGAACAGAGTGGTATTGAACCAGCAGTCACTACAAACTAATCCTAAGGCATTAAATATGGTGTTGCCTAATGTGGACTGTCGCCATGGGAAAGAAACGCTCTGTAACTATGTATGGAGTCCTGTGAGAGTCTCTGCAGCCAGATAAGAAGATTATATGTGTTGCCTTTCAGCATTTGTGAGATAAACAGACATGTCAACAGACAAAATACTGACACAAAATACTGTACTCTTGTGGTTTTATGATTATTTTGTGCTTGAAATACAAAAAGGAAGCTTATTATTAGGATGCCATATGTCTCCCACAAAAATAAGTAATCATACTACATATTTTTGGATCCACTGTGGTGTTATTCATAATAAAACATTGCATGTTGGTAGTACCCAATACTTTATTTTGCATATGATTACGGTAATCCTTTAATCATTTGAACACTATGGCGCACATAAAAATCAGAAAACAAAATATAAAAGTGACGTAATGAAATTATGCTTCATTTTGTCTTTTAATTTGCCGATGACTTAACCAAGTTACCTTAAGGTGATTTTTAGCGAATTTAAGAAGTTCGCAATAATGTTTCAAAAAGGTTTGACTTCATTTTGAACTGATTGAAATAGTGTACAAAAGGCTGTGCTAAATTGTGAATGATAAGCTTGCCATGCTTTACATTGTCCTTTAATCTCGACTGTATTCACAATACAATATAGCCGCAACCGCCTGTTTGCTCTTATAATACGTTTATTTATTGCCTATATACTGAGGATACACATTTTTTTTATAAAAATGTTAATTCATGAAATCATCCTTCCGCTAGAAGATATAGTTCCTGACAGAACTTCGCTGTGAGTGCTGCGTGTTAATATTACGCACAACTTTCTCGTTTTGTGTCATAAAGGGTTTTTTTCGCAGGTAAAATCGGGGAAATCCGGTCATTTCAATAAGATTTCACACGATCTGGGATAATTTCGCGTGAGGGCGAAAAAAATCTCCACAAACTTCGCAAATAGCGCGAATTCCGAGACAAAAAAAAAAAAAAAAAAAGCTGATCGTTTTGAAAGTGATATTTTATCTTTTTATAACTTTTTTGGGAAAAGTGTGCTCTTACCTTATAATTTATTTTATTTTGTTGTTGCCAGGGTTTTATATTTTTCTGTCTAATGTAGTGACATTAAAAGTGTCACTGTGTAAGCTGATTTGAATCGTTTAGCCTACATTCAGCGTTGTAAACGCAGGTTAATTGTCGCCAATGCCCCACCCTACGGTACACAGAGCCCTTTCAAATAAACCCGATGATAAATATCCATTTAACCGCTTACATTCGCTACTATACGTGTTAACACGGGCGTTAAGCAGGCGTTTTGTGCGCGTTAACAGGCGAGTCGGTGAAGACGCGTCGTCAGGTGCTGCAGCGTCCATAAACGCCCACCTAGAACAGCACCAGACGAGATAGAGCTGCGCTTACATCCGAGGTGAGCATCTCCATCATATGCCATTGATTCATTGACGGGTGCTTGTCATTTATGGATGTTTGTCGGTGAATGTCGTCCGTCAAGATGTCGTTATTGTCTCAATGACAGTTGTGAATGGGCTCGTGTGTTTACAGTAGGCTACATGATCAAAATAACATCATCTGATTATGCAACCATATTTCTGCTTGTGAATGGCTATAGCTGCAAAATGTCACTTGCATTTGGACCTGTTAAGTTGATTCTGTGATGCTTTAACGATGTTCTTGCCAAACAAACCAGTGTAAAATGAGATGAAGGCTCGAAATTATGCATTGGCTTATGAATCATCAAGACATGTTTTGGTGATACATAGACCACACAGCTGGTGGTCCTGTTTTTTAAATGTAGTGTGTGTGTGTTACATTTTGCTTATTTAAATGTAACAGAGCTGACACCAGTCATTATTCTTGTCTAACCATGTGTGTGTGTGTATATATATATATATATATATATATATATATATTATATATATATATATATAGGCTATATGCACAGCACACACATAATAGGCATGATTTGTTTTGCTCACACCATTTTCAGTATTCATTATTAGTAACTAGGTTGACATCAGTCTTTATTCTTGCCTTGATAACTATAATATTTAAATACCTGCTCAATAGTAACAGTCTCGACTCCTGCTTAAACCTTTACCTGTATTTATACGTCTGTCCGTGTTCACAGATGGCAAAAGCAGACCAACGCTTTGGGCAGAGAGATGGATCTGATCAGAACTTTGACTACATGTTCAAACTCCTGATCATTGGCAACAGCAGTGTAGGAAAAACCAGCTTTTTATTCAGATATGCAGATGACTCCTTTAGCAACTCTTTTGTCAGCACAGTCGGCATCGACTTTAAGGTGAAGACCGTTTACAGGAACGAAAAGAGAGTGAAGCTCCAAATATGGGTGAGTGCTGTAGCAGGTTTATTGGTGTAATTAAATCCCTAATATTGCATGAATCGTGCAATATGTGAATGAAAATGATGATATTTTTAGCCCCAGATTGTTTGTTGTTCTAATGTGATTGGCTGGCATCGTTAAACTCAAACTGCATCCAGCTGCATCCATCCTCTTCCTTCCACATTCACCTTCTATCAGCCTGTGATTGAGAGCCATCTTTTTCTGGAGGAAAAGAAAGCAAGCGCCTTCTCCCCCCCACATGCATCATCGATGCTGGTTGTCATGGAAGCAGCACTCCATACTGCTCCCTGGCAGAGAGAGATCCTCATAGCCAATTAAAGCGGCCCCTGAGGGTAAGGGGGCGGGCACCGGGCAGAGATTTCGAAAGCACAGAAGCGCCGGGGTGACAAGTATGACACAGCCACAATGTGTGATCATTCATAATCTGGGTGTATTGATCACAAGGTGTTAAAAATAGGCTCTCATTCAAAACAGCTGCAGGGAAACTGGCGCCAAGTTGAACCAAACAAAATGGGCTTCGAATAATCAAGGGCCCAAAATAGAGAAATTACAACCTTTCATTTAGTTTGTCCTCCACATGCTTGATAGCTATTCCATTCATGGAGCATTGAAGGTCATGATACGTCACACTGTTATAAATAAAATGCCACCAAGGTTTATATTGGGAAAGTCTGTAGTGAGATAAAATTAATAATTGAATAAAAAAAATATATACATATAATAAATTAAGATTAATTTACCATTTATTTTTATATCTTTGTAGATTAAATAAAAAATAATAATAGGGAATAATCTCAATAATAAATTGAGATTAGTTTGTAATGAGATAATTGTAGCCTATTAATTTTAAAAATTTTCTGAATGAATAAAAAATAATAAAAATAATTGGAAGGATTAAAAAATAATACAATTAATGCACATTTAATATATTGAGATGCAACACCATTTAAGGGTGTTGTAGGTGGTTGTCAGGGTGTTGCTATATGATATTCTGGTCTCTAAAGGGCCACAAAGGATATCACAATGATAGCTATAATGATGAAATTTGAATAATTGTTCTAATTCTTTGAATATTTGAGACCTCCTACGAGAAGTACACATCACAACTATAATGATAACGACACACAGAGGAATAATAACATTGAAATTCCCTTTTGAAATTTGAACATTTGAAGAAAAAAAAAATCCAGCTGATGAATGATAAAAACATTGACAGCCAATCAGAATCCACCTGTCTTTAAAGAGCTCTATCATTTAAAGCAGCTGAAGACAGAACAACAGAAGTTTTATTGTCCGTCTGTGTGAATGCTAATATAGTTATTGTTATAGTTATCTTTACAGTTATAGTTCTTTGTGTGAATGGCCTTAAATCTATGTGATTTTTCCAAAGCATGTCATTTTCTGTGTTGTCTATACTATAGGATACAGCTGGACAGGAGCGGTATAGAACTATTACTACAGCTTACTACAGAGGAGCCATGGGCTTCATCCTTATGTACGACATCACAAATGAAGAGTCCTTCAATGCAGTGCAGGACTGGTGAGCAGTTTTAATCTGAAATCCATAGGTTTTTGTCCATAATGCACTGATAAAGTTAGATGCCATAAATTACCATTTCCTTTCAGGGCAACACAGATTAAGACCTATTCATGGGATAACGCTCAGGTGATATTAGTGGGGAACAAATGTGACATGGATGAGGAGAGGGTGGTGCCTTCTGAGAAGGGGAAACACTTGGCCGACCAGTTAGGTAAGTTACAGTATGTGCCCAATCTTTAAAGCTGCAGTCCGCAGTTTTTCCTCTCTGTCGCCATCTCTGTTCGAAATCTGCAATTGCAGTAATTTGCGGAATTATCAACTTTACGTGAGTTGTACCTCGGCACGGCACAGCGCGAATTAATTAAATGTTTTGAGGAGAATGTGCGGCTGTCAGTCACCGCGCCGGTGTGGATACTGTCATTCAGAATCACAGATTCTACTTTTTGGAAGTATGACCAACATAATAATTTTCAACCTAAAATGTCATCTGGAACAAGTAAGAACATACACTTTTGTTCTGACCAACTAACTGAAAAAAAGCATTGCAGTAAATCGTGCTGATTAAATCTAACGATCGCTTATCATATCACGTCAAACCGTGCAAATTATACTTTGTTCTCAAATTTTTAATGTTAACAACATCAGCATTGCGTGACTACATGTAATGTCCTTCCGATATTATCCTTGTTTTCGCATGGGCAGTCTCTTTTTCCAAACTCTCAGTCCAAAGTCTTTTGCATTTTACAACGGGTGAATCTAGTTGTCACTGGTGATTGTCGTTTGGACCTTTCTGGATCCGCCATCAAATTGATGTTTAATTATATCAAGTGCTGTGAGAAAAGGCTATAAATCTCCACCTACAACATCCTCACACGCAATATAGCCGACTAGCCGAGACTCCTTCTTTATGTGTACAGATGTGACGTAATGACTTAATGACGCAAAGACATGCTCGAATCTCCCACGGAAATCCACCAGTACCACTGAAATTAAAAACATTATTACAAGCTTTCCGCTTTGAATCGAGCTAAGGCAAGCAGAGAGTTATGAACACTGGCTAGTTATGTATTTGCTCAAAAAATTAATTTTGATAATTTTTAACCCAAAAAAGTTACGGACTGGAGCTTTAAAGGAGACCTATTACTTGATTTTTCAAAGTCTTGATTTTGTTTTTGGGGTCAACTAGAATAGGTTTACATGCGTCAATATTCAAAAAATCATTCTTTTTCACATATTTTTCATTGTTGCAGCACCTCTTTTCCCAGTCTGTCACACTGTAAAAAAAAAAGTTGCTGCCTTAAATTTCTAAGTTCAATCACATTGAATGTTTGAGTCATTTCAACTTAAAGTTACATTAAACTGACTTTAAAAATAAGTTGAAAATTGAGTTAAAGCAATGTAAAAACATATAATCTTTCACAGAGCAGGAACGCACGCTCTGTTTAGTTCCTGTCCCTCCTTCTGAAAAGCACAGTGTGCTCTGATTGGCCGACTGTACCTGTGTGTTGTGATTGGTCAACCGCTTCAAGCGTGTTTGGGAAATATCACGGCCCTTACCATAACCGCGGTCTTCAACCATAGACAGTAAAAGAAATTGACACAGCGACCCCATAGACTTCAACTGAGAAAAGTGAAGCCCATTAGAAGCATTCACTTCCTGATGGCCGCCGAGCGACTGCGCAGGCTCAAACTGAGCTTGGCGACGTAGATGTGACGTGAGCAATCTGACTGACAGTTGTACGTCTTCTAGTGTGCCAAGAGGAATCTGAATCATTCCCTTCCAAATCTTGCAGAGACGGAGAGCGTGAGTAGGAGCTGTCTATAAGCTAGCAGCAGGAGCAGCTTTACAACTCTCTATGGGCTTCTCCCTTGACTTTATGCCTCCACGTCCCCCCGATTGCCTGCGAGCTTCTACTTCTGTCTATACGGTAATTTCTGTACTGTGCGACAGATAGTCCCGTGGTTATGACGCAATCGTTAGCCTATTTTTACAAAAACGGCTTCTACGGGCCCATAACATAAGATATAAAATGTAATGGAGCCTTTTATACATTGTCGTGCTTTAGAAATAAATAATGGACAAATGGAGTCTTTGGACACCTCGGATGTAAAGTTATTCGCTGTCAAAGTGATGCCAAAATGAATGGGAGTCAACGGAATGCTAACAGCAGGTGATGGTCTGCTACAATGGCGGCCCCCAGGGGAAGCTTCAGTTTCCGCTGATGGATTACCCCCTTGGTTTCAACACACTATTAACGCAACTCAGCCAGGCCTCACCCCCTTAATTTTGCATATGCCTTGAGCGAGAATTATTTAAATGTGGAATATTGTGACATGTTCATTCCCGGAAGAAAACTCAAGACTACAGTCGACTACAATACTGATGTTGAGAATAACTGGAGTGACTTGTGCTTTGTAACTTTGCAGACCTTTTTATGCTCAAACAGCAACGCTACACACTAAAGAAAGTTGAAAATGTTAGAAAAGCATAATAGGACCCCTTTAATCTGATTCATTTTGTATTTGTATTCTTTCTCGCAGGGTTTGAGTACTACGAAGCCAGCGCCAAGGAGAACATCAACGTCAGACAAGTATTTGAGCGCTTGGTCGACATTATCTGCGTGAAGATGTCTGAGAGAGTCGATACGGATCCACCCATAGTCACCGGTGCCAAAACCACCCGACTAACCGATAAACCTCCCCAGCTACCTCAGAATTGTTGCTGATTTCTCTCTCTACTCATATGCCAACCTATCAGCAGCGGATCAGATGTCGTTTGGTTTAACGTTCTGTTGTATGCCGATCGGAACCGACCTGGGGTGCGTTTCCTGCGCAAACAACGTAACTCACTGCTTAACCACCATAGTATGATGCATCGTTAGAGAAATTAACTAGTTAGTCACAAATATTTCCTGAAATCATTGCAACATGGTTGCACTTCTATTGTTTGAGCCATGTTGGGTCAACAATATATGTCAACAATGGAAACGTCACACACAGGTAGTGGAGAAATAACTTCTGCTAATGAATTGATTTAACATCGCTATTGATGTTAGATTATCATAAACACAATTTTGTAATTGCCGTACATTTGATTCAGTCAGGAACTTTCCCACAACGTAATTTTTCTCAGAGATGCTACACTGTAAAAAAAAAAAAGTTGCTGCCTTAAATTTTTAAGTACAATCAACTTGGATGTTTAAGTCATTTCAACTTATATATTACATTAAACTGACTTTAAAAAACGAGTTGAATCTTGTATAACTTATAAAAAAACTTGAAAATTGCTTAACTTTTTTTGATGAGGTAAAGCAATGTAAAAACATATGTTGTTATAACAATGATCATATCTTTTTTTTTTTACAGTGTACAAACATGGCATCTGACTGAGGACCCCTTAAATATTTTTGTTCTCTTCATTTGTTGTTTGATTCATCGCGGGTTCCCTCTTCATAATCCAAGGTTCTCTTACGCGTTTATGCACATGCACACTTCAAAAACAGCGCTAAAATACATAGAATTAAATGTACATGCATTTCAATTTCATACTAACAAGAAACTATGCTTCAAGCCGCAAGTCGAGAGCTGTGGTTCTAAACTCACAAAGTTGAGTTGCTTCGTTAAACTATGTTGGTAAACGATGGAACTTGCGACTTGCTTTGGCTAACGATTGCGTTCGGGAAACACACCCCTGTTTGTTTGTAGCTGTCAAACATGTGAAGTAGTTCAGTAATAATAGTACACTTCTACCCTAATCAGTCCATAGGAAACTTAACGCAGGGACTAGAGCAAAGCACAAAAACTACTACTTGGCTCCCAGAACTTCAGTGTTCACTGCCGAAACTAGATTTAAAACGCAATCTGTGGTGGCACAATCTCACTAATTTTATGAATTATATATTTAATGTAGTACTTTAATGGAGGTAAAATGGTGGATAATCTGTTAAAAGGCACAAAAATAAACTCAGACTTTTGCAAAATGGCCATTATGCAAAATTGAGTTTTCAGGGTGGTTTCGATGCTCTGATCTGATTGGATCAGAAGCAGATGCACATTGTATGTTGGACTCCATCTATTAACTGCTGGCACAGTATGTTTTGAGAATATAAGCACTTGTTTAATCTATCTTCATGTTGAGAGGAAAAAAATTATTAGATACGCAAAATAAAATTCATGTCTTACACAAAAATACGACATTAAATTCATGTTAAACTTAGTATTGTCAGAAACCACATGTTACTGTTGTGTGTAATAATAGACTGAACACAATCAGCACATTTCATAGTCAGGCGTTGTTACAAAAGATATGATTCTTCACTCAAATCCTCAAGAAGAAAGTCGAGATTTGTCGTGAACTCGTGCCAGGATGTTTATATTTCAGAAACCTGTAGCAAATCCTTGTGGGTTCGTGTATGTATTATCTACCTTGGTTTTTTATCAAGTGATGTATGAGTGTTTTATGTAATTATAGTCGAAATTATTCCAAATGAGATATTTTTTCCCCCCCGAGTAGATATTTATTTTTATGCTGCTGGAATATATAGTTGTACCTTTGCTGTCAGTGTATTTTGATTTGTAGATTTGCACTGGGGCGTACAGTGATTGTACAGTTGTGAATGTTACTTTTAGATGCAATTTGTAACAATAAAAGCACAAATCACATAATAATGCTAATATTTTTGTACTGCGTCTGTCATTGTATGTGATGCTGATGGCCAGTATATTGAGGATACTGTAGTATATGGACTATATATGATAGCAAACAAAAATTGCTGAAATGAAATAAACTTATTTGACACTATATTTACTTAAAAGTCACAAAAGACACTTTACTTTTATTATTTATTTTTCACATAGTGTTAAAAGATTCAACAACCTTAATTCATGGTCTAAGATATTTGTCTGTTATTCGAATTTCTGTAGCAGCGTTATTAGTTTTTAGTAATATTGCACTGTATTTTATATTTTAATTTTAGTTTAAATTTTAGTAGCCTACTTGTATGTGCTTCTCATTTTTTATTCTTATTTTTTTATTTATATATATATTTAATTTTATTTCCCATTCAATTTTAGTATTTCAGTGCTAAAGTAAATGTAAGTTTTTCATCTTATATTCATATTTTATTGTAATTCAATGATTTTTAGGTTTACATTTAGTCAACAACAACAGCTCTGATCTGAACCAGCCGTCAACCTGTTTCTAAAACAAACGCTTGTATTCCATTTTTCACAGCGCCGGTTGGCTCGACCAATCACATTGGTTCTTATGCCACGGTGTATCAGCCAATGAGATTTCATTGTATTAGGTGTGCTCAACATGAGCGTTAACGGCGCAACATCCGTAATCCATTCGACAACAGAAAGGAAGGTATGCTACTTAATTGTATGCAGAAGTTTAATTATTAAAACGTTTTTTTAGTGCAGTGTTGTCTTAACGTGAGCCATGATAGGGATTAGTAGCTACTGGAGTTTTGATACAGAAGATGACGTAAAGTGTATTCGTGACAGGTGTCAATCATGTTAAATCTAGTGAGTGTCTGCGCTTTGACACTAACAGGTGTGGCTTGTCACACGCAGCGTGTTTGAGTCGAAATGCCCCGAACTTGCAGTGGACCTGCCTGTGAAGTGTCCGGTCCAGAGAGCGGAGAACCTCCACCAGCTCGAACTGAACCGCCAGTCTCCCAGCCAGAGTCTGATCAAAGTGACCCGAGAATAATCAAATCACCAAACGACCCGAAAAAATACAGGTAACAAGACATTTTATGCTCTATAGTAAAAATATCAACAACAACAATAATAATGTATGAATGTTATATATATATATATATATATAGTAAATAGACCGAATAATATAATACTAGTAGTACCCTAATTAATAACAACAACTGTCATTTCATACTATCAGTCTTTATCAGTCTTCATATACATTGTATCATTATTATTAGTAAATATTATATAAATACAATATTAATAAATACAAAATATGTAAACCATAATATATTTAATATTTAAATCTGATTATTATGGATATTATTTTATTTATTTTATTTATATTATTATTATATTATCACATTTATATTTAAAATAAAATTATACATTTTGAAAAAAATATACGATTATTGTTTTATTTATAATTTAATAATTCAATAATAATAATTAAATTATTTTAAAGCATATAAAATAAAATATGATTTTATTAATTTTTATTTTAGTTATATAAAATTATAATATCAAGTGTATTTTTTAAAATAAATTTATGAAATTGTTAAATTGTTTTTGTCATTTTCTTTTATTATTATTAATAAAAAATGTTATAAAATAAAATAAATAACAATTTAAATGAAAATAAATGTATTTTTGAAAAATAAAATATAAAAAAATCATATCTTGATACAATTTGGAAAAAAAGTTTTGTTATTATTTGTTTTTATTTATTATATTTGTATTTATTCATATTATCAAATGTATTTTTAGAAATAAAATGTATTTAAATATTTTTTTGTCATTAAAACATATTTTATTTTTATAATAATACATCTCTAATTTATAAATATATATTTTTTGAATGGTTCTTTTTCTGACTAGAAGTAATTAAACCTTTTCCAGGTACATTGAGCTGAGCAATGGACTCAAAGTGCTACTCATATCAGACCTCACCCAATCAGAGAGTAGCAAAGAGCCGGCTGATGAAGAAGAGGAAGAGAATGTTGACAGTGAGAGTGCTGATGAAGACAGGAATGACATGAATAAATGCAGTGAAGAGAGGAAGAAGAATTGCCGTTCAGAGAAACAGGTGACTTTCAGCTCTTTACAGTTACTTCATTTATAAATAGATATAATACCCAATATCTTATATGTTCCCTCAGTCCGCAGCTGCGCTCTGTATCAGCGTGGGAAGCTTCAGTGACCCTGCGGATCTACCTGGTCTTGCCCATTTCCTCGAACACAGTGCGTTGATTGACAGCAAGGGGTCATTTATTTTATTCTTACCTTTTTATTTCCTTTAAATTCACATTGTTATTTTTCCAGTGGTCTTCATGGGCAGTGAGAAGTATCCGGACGAAAATGGCTTTGATGCTTTCCTGAAAAAACACGGAGGAAGTGACAACGCCTCCACGGACTGCGAGCGGACCATCTTCCAATTTGATGTTCAGAGGAAATGCTTCAAAGAAGCACTGGATCGGTGAGCTAAATATTCAATTATCAATCACATATTCATTTATTTTAGGGTGAACTGCCCCTTTAAAAACCTGCACTTGCATTATTTGTCCACAGGTGGGCGCAGTTTTTCATCTGCCCCCTGATGATTCCTGATGCAGTTGACAGGGAGGTGGAGGCCGTAGATAGCGGTCAGTAAAAACACGTCACAAGTGCACTGTTAACGTTAATAATGAAATGTAATGTGGCTAAATTCTTTTTAACAGAGTACCAGATGGGCCGACCATTAGACTCTAACCGCAAAGAGATGCTGTTTGGAAGTTTAGCAAAAGCCAGTCATCCGATGAGCAAGTTCTTCTGGGGTCAGTCACATGTTCATAATGTTCATAAAGCCAAACAAGAGAATGATGCTCATGATCTTTGTCCATCACTTGATATTTCACCAGGAAATGCTCAAACACTGAAAGACGAACCCAGAGAGAAGAATATCAACACTTATGAGCGTCTGAGAGAGTTCTGGAGGAGATTTTACTCTGCTCATTACATGACGCTCACTGTGCAGTCCAGAGGCAATGAGAATAAATCATTTGTCTCTGAATGAATACAGTACTATCCTCATATTTACATCAAGGGTCTAATTTTGGACACTTTATCCTCATAGACACACTTGATACCCTGGAAGAATGGGTGCGAGAGATCTTTATTAAGATCCCAAACAAGTACGTATGCTAAACATTCATATTTCTTGCCATTTATGTCACCCAGGATGTATTTTAATATAATTTTTTTCTTTTCTTTTTTTCCCCCACAGTGGCCAGCCACGGGTGAACTTTTCAGACCTTCAGGATCCATTTGATACCCCAGATTTCAACAAGCTTTACCGAGGTAGCGTTGGATTTCAGATTGTATAGCTTACGTCAGTTAGGTTACCTAGAATCTTTTTAAAAAGCTACATTGAACTTTAATTTAATGTAATATTATAAGTTTTAATTTAGTATGTAATTTAACTTAATATTTAATTTAAATATGAAATATTTACATTTCAAAAAATATGTAATAAAACTAAATTAAATATTAAATATAATTCATGTAATTTTAATACATTTTTGTTTATAATATTAATATTATCAATCTATATTACTAATTAATATGACAACAATAATGCTTTATAGTATAATTATGAAAACATATTTAAATAAATCTTTTAAAGTAAATGGTTATTTTGTTATTATTAGTTTTTTATTTGAAAATAAAATAAAATCGATAAAATAAATTACTGTTGTTGTTATGTTTATTTTAATATTTAAGTAGTAGTTGTAAAAAAAAAATATTGATATACATTTTGTAAGGATTCAGGGCGGATCTAATCCGTGGGGAATTTGCATATCATAATTAATAATTGGTAATTAATAATTATTCATGCATGTTTGAATTAGACCAGTCTTACATGTTAATAAATCTCCCGATAAGGGAGGATCTGTCATTTTACCTGCATGCATGTGAATCCTTGAAATTAACCACAAGTTGATTGCAATTAATTACACGGACCACGTTTCACAAAACAGGTAAAATGAATTAGCTCAATTGTCAGGATAATATTTGTGGGATCCACAATATCATCTTACTTTATAGGATTTCAGGAAACGCAATTCTCTGGCCAGAAGAATTGGGTTTCCCGCCCTATAAACACAACACATACTCTTTAAGGTATTTTTAATTTTAGTAAGCTTGTAGCATAAGATCTTTTGCACTTAAGGGACTTGAAACTGAGCAAAGAGACAGCACATCAATCAAATGAATATATAATTAATTTAATAGAGGCATGACTACTTATGTATTTACTACGGTTACACGGGATATATGTATTTACAAACACATAGACATCAATGAACAATACAATAAGACATCAATGAACGAGAAATGCGTAAAGTTTGGACAATGGATAACTTACACGCGTGAGCGAGTAAGAGAGAGAGAACAGAGAATGGGGAGAGAGAGAACAGAGAACATTGGCAGAATTTCATTGGCAGGAAGACATTCACCTCTCCGATTACAACACGAAACATCATCTTAAAACTTCTTAGAAGCTCTATAAAGAGATTATACTTGCACAAGTTATGTTATGGTCTCTCTGTGTGTCGAGGCATTCCCGTACGGCCCTGTCTGGCCGCGTGAGCTGAGTCCTTTTGTGTGTGAGGAAGCGTCACGTGGGCTGCTTGGCGCGCGTGTTGAACGGAGGTTTACAGTCTTTAGGGTAACATTACCAAAGGGAAATAGTTCGGCTAAGTTCGTTTCACTTCGTGGAAGTGAACTGAGTCGACTACGGAAAACAAAACTTTGACTAACAAAAAGGAAATAAAGATCTCGACGGGGAAATCATGCGGAGTTAACGTTACATCTTTGCATGGCTGGTGAAGAAGCGCGTGCGTCGCTCGGTCCGGCGCGTCACGCGGTCACGTGCGCGTGTTTCTCCTTCAAAGCGAGCGCGCGCTCGTTTAAAGGTCCCTCGTAGATGGATTTGCTGAAGAGATATGTCACGGGGTTTTCTTTTCAATCATCGATTGGAATTAAACACAGAGACTTATCTACAACTGAAAAACACAAACTAAACTAGAAACAAATAAAAGAAAGGCGAAGAGCTCGTCCGGAGGCGAGACGTTACATTATGACACGAGGACAAGGGAGGAAGAGAGCGTCCAGAGGGAGGTTCAGTCCTCTTTAGAGGAACTGGAGTCCACACCTCTGAGGTGCGAACTGGCCAATGACATTCAACGAAACTTTTTGCGGCCAAATTCTCTTTGTCTTGTCAAAGTTAAACTATGGCCGTGTCCGCCTCTTTTATGACCAGTCAGAATTTGTCAGAATCATTCCACAAGATGGTAAAAACATAGAAAACATACATTTTACTGTAATCTTCTGTATCTGACCAAATCAGTTGGAACGAGATAATTAAAACGGTACCAAACAAAACATTTACACATAATTGGAATACGAAGATACATCTTAATACATAACTATAAACTCTCTAGAGTTTCACTGATACGCTAGGAGATCATATCTAGACTACCATGGACTGGGAAACACACAGACATACAGGAATATATCCTATACAATTGGTAATGGCTCGTTTTATGAGTGTAATGTAAAGGTCCATCCTGTGTGTGTGTTGGTTTGTGTGTGTGTGTGTTAGAGTTCTGTTATCTCTCTTGCAGAGATGGGGGAGGGCATGGAATGTTCAAGCATTTTATGACTCTGGCCATTCCTGAGAGAGAGAGAGTGTGTGTGTGTGTTGTACACACGTTCTTGCTTGAGGAAAGGGGGAAGTCAACTGACAGTCCATACCTTACATAAAGTAAATAATGTGTTATGAGTTATGTTATTTATATTTAATGATATTATCACAGGTATATTTGAAAATAAAATAACATTTATATATAATTGTTGTTTTTATTTTGTTATTTTAATAACAATAATAAGTGGAATATAATAAAAGCATATTTGAATAAATTTAATAAATCATTTTTAAATAAAATATCTTTCACTTATTAAATTTAGATTTTTTTTATATTTAAAATTAAATTAAAATATAGAAATTATATAATATAATTTATATTATTATATATAATAATATTCTATAATAGTTTTAATAAAAATTATTATTAAAACTAAATTAAATATTAAAAACATTTTTTATATTTACAATTACATTTTAATATCATATTATATTTATATACATTTATTTAAATAATACAATTAAACAATTTATTTTAATCATTTGGGTTTAATTTTATGCTAACTGTTAAACAACATACAGAGTTCATACTGAATATCATTATTTATGATTCAGTGACTCCCAAATCTAGGCCTACTCATGTGTTGGTGAATTTAAATGAGCATTTGGAATCTTTGATAACTATATGTGTCATTTTCAGTGGTGCCAGTGAGAAAGGTTCATGCGCTGACCATCAGCTGGGCTCTTCCACCTCAAGGCAAACATTACAGGTCAGTAACACATCCTGACAGCTGTCAAAATCTATCCACCATGTAAAAGTGTTTTACCCTGCTGAGGTCAAAATAGTGAAGTATACTCTGCTTAAAAGACCAGCCTGGGATGCTGGTGGCCACCAAGCTTCTTATCCAGGACATAATGGCATAATAGTACAAGTTTGCATTAGGCTGATGGCAATAAAGAGTGTTTGTGTTTGTACATGTTGGGATATAGAGTGAAACCCCTGCATTACATTTCCTGGCTGATTGGTCATGAAGGAGCTGGAAGTGTATTGTCTTTACTCAGAAAGAAGTGAGTTTGACTTTCTGTTCATACTTGTATTAAACTGATCACTAATGAATCGGTTTGAATCAAATGAGATGAAATGAAATGCTCTGTATCTGAAGGTGCTGGGCTATCGGTCTGTTCGGAGGAAACAGTGAGACGGGTTTCGATCAGAACACCACCTACTCCATCTTCAGCGTTTCAGTCACCCTGAGCGACGAGGGCTTCCAGAACTTCTTCCAGGTCTGAAAAACCCTGCATGTTGGCTTAATTAAGTCCTCAGTTTTTTTTATGTGGTGTGAATCCTTTTATTCCTCATTATATCTTAATAATGAAATGTTTTTTATGGTTGTAGGTCATTCATACAATCTTCCAGTATCTAAAGATGCTTCAGTCTATTGGACCTCAGCAGAGGTGGGCAGAAGATCATTGAAACGTTCTGCTTTTTAAAAAGAAAATGCATTCAATTAGAAAAGGATTTCACAGCCTGATATGACAGAATATCACAGAATATGAAATCCTTTTTACAGTAAAAATGGTTCTTGAGAAGAAAAGAGTTTATTTTTAAGAGTTGGTTTTGATAATGTCCTTCAATCCTCTTGGTTTTGTTAAATACAAAAAACAACTCAATATTCTCTTGGTTATGCGTTTCCTCAGAATCTATGAGGAAATCCAAAAGATTGAAGCCAATGAGTTCCACTATCAGGAGCAGGTGACCTGTGTTTCCCTCATTCTCTTGAGTGAAATCATCTAAATTCATAGATAGAACAGTCGCAGGCCTTCAACTCTCATATTTATGTTTTTTGTACCAGACGGAACCAATTGAGTTTGTGGCCAACATTTGTGAGAACATGCAACTTTTCCCAAAAGAGGACTTCCTGTGTGGAGACCAGCTTATGTTTGAATACAACCCAGAGGTATGGCATTGTCTTTTGGACTAAACTAGTAATGCTAAATATTTTATGACTGCTGTTCTGATGTTTAATCTGTCATTGAAGGTCATCTCAGCTGCTTTGACACTCTTGACCCCAATGACGGCCAACATATTACTGCTGTCACCCAAACATGATGGTCTCTGTCCGCTAAAGGAGAAGTGGTTTGGGACGCAGTACAGTGTTGAAGGTAAACCACAACAATAGATCCGGGAAAGGTTTGGCTTTATTTTTAAGGGATGCATAGACGTTAAAATTCTGGTAGACACTTTTCAAGGATAACCAATATTATTAAAAGATATTAATTTCATAAAATTTTAATATCAAAGTTCAACATAGTTTTGGCTAAAATATAAATGAAAAATAATACACTGAAAAATAAACTTGCATGAAGATATTCTCACAGAATTCAAATAATCTCAAATAATGCTGAATAAATAAGTTGGCTGCTTTTTATAATCGTTAGATATGATATAATGGAAGTAGAATTAAAAAATTGTGGCTGATATAATTAATTTTATCACCAATAATTGATAAATGGACAATTTTAAGATTGTATATTATTTTGTTTAAATAAAACACTAAAAAAAATGTATTTAATTTTTATTTTAAATGCTTCAAGAAATTAGTGATGGATGATCGAAAGTTGATGGCTGGATAGATGGATGGATGATAGATAGTTGATGGATGGATGGATGGATGGATGGATAATAGTTGATGAATGGATGGATGGATGGATGGTAGATAATTGATGGGTGGATGATAGATAGTTGATGGATGGATGGACAGTGGATAGATAGATGGATAGATAGACATAAAATAGTTGGTTGTGTCATAAATATAAATGAAATTAATAAATAAATAAAAGATGTTGATGTGGCACAATTAAATAAAATATTCATTAATCTCTATTTATACCTTATGGTCTAAATAATCTTCCAGTATCTAAAAAAAAAATATTTTTTACAATAAAAAATGTAAATTATAATATCGTCTGATAACCAATATGGCACGGATACATCACGCATCAGTTTATTATGTTTGACTTAATTATGAAGTGTTATACCTACACAGATATTCCTCAAGAATACAGTGACCTTTGGGCTGGAGATTTCCCGCTGAACCCTGACCTCCACCTCCCCGCTGAGAACAAGTTTATAGGTCAGTTCCCATTCCATTCACTGGAGGTTAATTCTTTTCTTTACAACAGTTTTCACTTCAGTTCTTCCCCATCCACAGCCTCAGATTTCACCCTCAAAACATCAGACTGCCCTGACACGGATTTCCCAGTCAAGATAATCGACAACGAGAGAGGCCGTCTGTGGTTCAGAAAGGACAGCAAGTTTAAAATACCCAAAGGTACCTTAATAATGAGAGAAACTCAATGAGATAATCCCAATGTTATATCCGTAATTAAGTCATTATGTCTGTATTTTCCGATAGCTTATGCACGCTTCCAGCTGCTCACTCCAATCATACTGGAATCTCCTAAAAAGTGAGTTGTTCCTCAACAAATTGAATTCATAATTCTCTACAAAAGGCTCAAATTCTTTGGAGATCTGCCACATTATACACGGACACTTTTTCCTCTCCCAGTCTGGTCCTGTTGGATCTTTTTGTGAATATTCTGGCTCATAATCTGGCGGAGCCGGCATACGATGCAGTTGTGGCTCAGCTGGAGTATACGTTAATTCCTGGAGACCACGGCCTGTTCCTCAGACTCAAAGGATTCAACCACAAACTGCCTGTGAGTTCATTAGTGTCTCTGACTCTTTTTGAATCTGTCTCTCAAATGAAATTGATTCATTTGAACAAACTCATTCTGTCAGTTTCATTCTCTTTAGTTGCTTCTGAACCTGATCGTAGACCACCTGGCCGACTTCAGCACCACTCCAGATGTGTTTAGCATGTTCACTGAGCAACTGAAGAAAACCTACTACACCATCCTCATTAAACCAGATCAACTTGGAAGGTGTGTAACCGCAGATTTCAAACCACCAGCGATCTCCGTTTGCATCATTCGGTCTCATTACTGTGTATTATTTCAGAGATGTTCGACTGCAGATTCTTGAGCACCATCGTTTCTCTGTGATGCAGAGGTATGAAGCCATCATGGCGGACATCAGCGTGGCTGATCTCATGGACTTTGTGAATCGCTTCAGGGATGAGTTACATATAGAAGGACTCATACAAGGAAACTTCACAAGGACCGTGAGTCTTATTGACGATTTATGTCATTTTAAACAAGTATTTACACTATAATCACTCATTTTTGTACAATTTCTGCACAAACAGGAATCTAAGGAATTTCTGCAGTATTTTATAGAGTAAGTAGGCTGCTTTTTAAACTTGTTAGATGTAAATTTAAAAGAAGTAGAGTATAATTTAATTATTTGATGTTATATAATGTTGATAGTAATGGTAATGTTGCATGTAAGGCGCGTTCCTTTTTGGAATATAAAATAACAAAATGAAATCACTTTTTATTTATTCAGAATAATTACAAAATTCTAGTTACAAATAGTTAATTTTATTTAAAAAAAATTTGTTAATAATATTTGATGGTAATCAAATGAATTTGATGGTTAAAAATATTTGAGGTAGCGTGTTACGTTAGGTTACTTTTTGGACATAAAATAACTAAATGAAATCACTTTTTATTTATTCAGAATAATTACAAAATTCTATTTACAGATAGTTCATTTTATAAATTGTATAAAATATATATTTTTTAATAATGTTGAGGTAGCATATTACATGTAATCTCCGTTACATTATTGGGTTACTTTTTGGAAGTAAAATAACAAAATAAAATAATTTTTTAGAAAAATGTTTATATATTTAAGAATCACATTATGGGGGATGAGGAGTTAGTTACATGTAGAATTTATAGAATAATCTCTTTTTTAATTAAGTAACATTTTTGTTTATTTATTTACTGACAAAATACAACATCCTTGGTGTTTAACAGCAAACTTCAGTACAAAGCTCCTCCAGCTGCACTTCCTGTCCTGTTCAGAGTGGTGGAGTTACCACAGACGCACCACTTATGTAAAGTCCAGTCCCTCAACACGGCAGACGCCAACTCAGAAGTCACAGTATACTATCAGGTAGAAGTCCATGTGACTATTTCAGATCTTCTCAAATTCTTTCATAGCTTTATGCAAGGAACATACCAAAACATTGTTGTTGTTTTTCCAGACAGGACTGAAAAACTTGCGAGAACATACGCTGATGGAGCTGCTTGTGGTGATTTGGGCCGTCGCTTAAACTGAAAGTATGTATCGTCCTTCTTTTTTTTAACCTAAATGCACTTGTTTTATGTGTTTGCCAGATGCACATGGAAGAGCCCTGCTTTGATTTCCTGAGGACAAAGGAAACTCTAGGGTCAGTTATAAAGCTTCGTCCTTCAGACTGTTTCCTTGTGTAAATCTTTCTTCTTCAACGGATCTTATTTGACTCTTCCTTCAGGTATCAGGTGTATCCCGCCTGCAGAAACACTTCCTGTGTCCTTGGCTTTTCAGTGACCGTCGAGACTCAGGCGACCAAGTTCAGGCAAGGTTTATGTGGAAAACTAGATGTTTATCTTCCAGTCCATTTCTCAATGAATATCAGTAACATTTTATTTTTCCCGTGTACTCTCGTAGCACTGACTTTGTGGAAGATAAAATCGAAGCTTTTCTAGTCAGCTTTGGGGAGAAGATGAATAACTTATCGGATGAGGCTTTTCAAACTCAAGTGAGCGCTCTGATCAAGCTGAAGGAGTGTGAAGACACGCAGCTCGGGGACGAAGTGGACAGGAACTGGTTTGAAGTGGTCACACAGCAGTATGTCTTTGAGAGGCTCAATAAAGAAGTGAGAAATCAGTCCATATATTCGTGTTCTTTAATATTATTAATGGTACCATACCGGTTGTCGTCCAGTGTTACAGATTATCGCATCCGCCCATGCTAATTTCCTCTATTTTTGCCGTCACTTAAAGTTAATCTTAAAAAAAAAACATCTTTAAAAACACTAATTTAATTACATTTTTCATACTGTACATTATAATGTGATGCCTTAATTCACGCATTAAAAATTACTGCTTTTAATTTTCAATTTAATTATGTGGATCAAAATTATAGAAATGTAATAGTTTTTCAAATTGCCTATTTTTGTTAGTATTAATAATAATTTATTTAATAATACTTTTTTGTATTTATTTTAACTTTTCGTAATGAAAGACAAATAAACTAAAGCTATATTGAAATATAAAAACCTAAAAACTAAGATAAATTAAAGCTATATAGAAATATAAAAAAATAAAATAAGAAAAAGCTATGGAAATATGTAAAAAATAAATTAAAGCTATATAGAAAATTAATCAATATTAATTACATTTTATTTGTGCCTTTTAAAAACTATTTTTTGTTAGTTTATTTATTTATTTTATAGATTTATGCCACATCAACATCATTTTTTGCCATTTATTTATCTATTTTAAACATTTAATCCACATCACCAATGTTTTTGTCGGTCTCCATTTATTTATTATGCCTTAAATTTTCATAGCACATAAAATGACTAATTTTAGTTTTTAAAGTTTTATTTATTTATTTTAATCAATTTTAAAACTGGCCAGTTATTGGTTGGTTGTCATTTTAATGTCGGTGCATTTCTGTTCTTATTCAATCTCCTGCATTATTTGAGAAGTTGTTTTATTCTGTGAGAATATCACATCGTTACTCTACCCGACAGATTGAAGTCCTGAAAGATGTCACCAAAGATGAACTGGTGTCTTTTTTCATGGAGCACAGGCATGCAAACAGTAGAAAACTAAGTATACATGTATGTTATTTATTTGTTTCTGTTATAATCTATTATTTAAATAAAGGGCCTTTTGAATTTTTAAAGGGTCATTGAGACGGTAGAAAATGGTCATGAATGTTGAAACTGTTGATCATGTTAACATCTACCAAATGACTCTGTGATCCATGCAGGTGGTTGGATTCGGAGAGAGGGAGAAGGAAACCCACGGAGATGATCAATCCTGTTCTGCCCCTGAGACTCAGGATGCAGAAATAAAGCTGTCCTCATATGGGAATGTGTCGGAGCTGATCTTCCTCCCCGCCTCGCCCGTCCTCGCCAAAGCTACCATGATAACGGACATCTGCGCGTTCACGTCTTCCCTCAATCTGCACCCCTACCATAAAATCCTCATGTAGACTGACACAAGCTCAGAATGACCCACGGCTACCTCCATGAAAACTGTGGAAAAACACTTTCTGTCTGTTGTAATTGATTATGGTAAAGGAATAGAATAGTTCACCCCAAAAATCTAGATGTATGACTTTCTTCTTTCAGCCGAACACAATCGGAGTTATATTAAAAAAATATCCTGGCTCTTCCCAGCTTTGTAATGGCATTTAATAGTGCCCGAGTTTTTGAACCTCCAAAAAGCGCATCCATAGACGTAATCCGCGCGACTCCAGTTGGTTATTAAAAGCCTTCTGAAGCAAGGCCATGGGTTTTTGTAAGGAACATATCCATATTTAAAACTTTGCATTTAATCAAGTGACACATAAGAATTCTGTTGTTGGAGTAATCCAGTTTTTCCATGTATTTTAGAGGACAAAAAAATCAAATAGCATATATACATGTATTGTATTATATTATCAGGGATGCATATATGTGCATATCATTAATATTGCATTCTTACTTTTTTAAAGTAAGTATGACTGAATAAAAATGTGGAGATGTGGAAGTACAGCCTTATGTCAAATTTGGATGATGTGGTATTTAGTATGTTTTATTCAACAGTCTATTATTAAAATGAACATTTAATGTAATGTAACAAGTAATGTTTTTTATGACTTTTTGTTTAAAAAAAGTAACAGGCTAATTGTTGTGGTATTTTTTGTATACTATTGTAGTATTTATTAATATTAATAATAATTTATTTTTATTTTATTTTAACTTTTAGGAATTTTGTAAAAAAAAAATAATGTTCTTTTTTTGGGGGGGAGGGGGGGGGGTATATAACTTTATTTAATCAGTTTTAGGTCTATATATTACTTTATAGCTTTTTATTTAAATTTTAGGGGTTTTATATTTCTATATATCTTTTATTTATTTTTTAGATTGTTCATGTTTCTATATAACTTTTTTTTTTTGTACTTCAACCTAATTTTATTTTAGTTAGTTGCCAAAGCAACATTTCTAATCTTCGTTCCAGTTTTAGTTTTTTTTTATTCGTTTTAAATAATTATTTATTATTTAGTTAGCAGCAGCAGCAGCAACACCGGTGACCAGCAACTGGGCTTTGTTTGGCTACCATGGCATCAATTACCCGCTAAAATATTCATAAAACATCTTATGAATATTTAAAAGGCTTAATTTTACTACAGGAAAGAAGTGAGCAAGAGAATAAAAGCTATTTTATTAAAGTATTATCTTCAGATTAGTCTCTCGAGTGTAATTTTGTAACTGGAAAATTACATAGACACGACGCGTCCATGGCAACAAACTTTTATTAGCTGCTCGAGTGGGAGCTCGTGCACAGTAGCGACAGTTTACGCGCGTTCTAGCATGGATAACGGCAGAAAGTGTAATGTTTTCGCGCATTTGCGTCTTTTCTGCGGTTATTCGTGTGTAAATAGTGTCCTGCGAGTTTAGAGGTTTAGACGGCCTCAATATGTCCGTGTCTGTCAAGTGCAGCCCGTCTCCTCCGGATGGAGCAAAACCAGAGAGCCGCAGGACGAAGAGATCGACTACTGCTGTCAATAACAGTGAGGAAACTCTGTTATCTATGATCAATAATTACAGAAGCCACTTTACATAATCTTTGTTTGACTTAATATTTGTTTGTTTGTGTGTTTATTTCTTTTAATGCCTCATCATCAACTTTAATCTTAAAGGGATAGTTCATCCATGTCATCATTTAACTTAACTTACTCACCTTCAAGTTGTTCCAAACCTGTATGAGTTTCTTTCTACTGATGAACACAAAAGAAGATATTTTAAAGAATGTTGGCAACCATACATTTGACGGTAGCCATTGACTTCTATAGTATTTTTTTCCTACTATAGAAGTCAAAGGGTGCTGTCAACTTTCTGGTTACCAACACTTTTTTCCTTAATAGCCTATTAAAAAATGTATTCATGTAATTTTACCAAATAATTTGTTTTGTTATTCCTAATATTAATTTAGGACATGCCACATCATCACAAACCTTTTCTGTTATTCTTATTTATTTACTTATGTTATTCATCTGTCTAGTGGCCACAGAGCTTCCTCGTGTGAGGGAGAGGACACCTATAAAAGACGGAAGCAGCCTGCAAGTGCGTGACGATTTAATCCCAGACGAGCTTCTCGCAACTTTAACGTCCACCACATGTCCTCAAGACAGACTCGGACCCCTCAGATTAACCAAAACTCCTAAGGACTTCAAGGTTTGTGGCACTTGAGTATCTTTCACCGTGATTTTGCCAAGTAAGATCAACATTGATCTGGGAACAACATTACTGTCTGCAAATTTAGTCCTAATCCTATCCCTACCCCTAAACCTAACCCTATCCATAAGTTATCCCCAAAATCGCACCTAACCCTAAACTTGACATAAACTGTAAACGTGTCCCTCAATCTGATTGGCTGATTGGAATGTTGTTCCAGGATCGAGAAAGACATTGATCCAGGAACATGTTGTACTTGGTAAAATAACGTCCGCCAAAATTCTTTCTAGTAACTGAATCAGCTCTTTTGACCTCTTTCACCAGGTGTGTTTCATGCACCGCCCTGATGCAGTGTGGCACCATCCCACTAGACGCAAGAAATACCAATACTTTCTCAACCAGCCAACCTCTCTGACTGGAGCTGGAAGGTTGGATTAAATCATTACACATAACACATACATTTATCCATAATACACTGAAGACATTTTCTAGCTCACTGTGTTTGTTTGAATCTGAACAGAGACATATCCTTTCTCTGTGATGCTCTGGTGTCTCAGAGGGACCAAGTGTCTCTCCCACAAATGGCTGAAAGAAGCTCCCCTCAGCTTCAAGGAGATCACAATGCAAGTGACAGGAGAATAAACTGAATTTGATGCACAGTGTCTTTGCATATGTTGTAACTTCATGTTGTTGTTTTTGGGTCGAAGGATTGGAGTTCACTGGAAACTTTAATCCCAGAAGAATATCACATCATAAAAAACAAAGGCCTTGAGGGACTGCAGTGCTATGAAGAGTAAGTGAGTCTGCTTTGGTCAGTGACAACATCTCTCTTTTTGTACTACAGCTAAATGTTTGCTTATTTATTTATTTTTTAGCAAATTCACAGTTCTCCTAGAAGATGACAAGAAGAAGCTAAGAGTCTTTCCATCATTGTAAGTTGCTCTAACATGTTTATTTAAGATTCATTAATTTATTTAAAAATTATCAATGTTTTAAGTATTTTCTAAACAAAAATTAGGAAGACATGTCATATGCATGGCTAATTTTTCTTTATTTATTTGAAATTATTGATATTCATATTTAGAATATTTTCTGAACAACCACTAGGAAACCAAGCGGTCGTCTTGAGGTGATTCAGTTAATGCAGGTGATGGACAAAATGTTGGTAAAAGCAGGTGTCAATCAAGAGTTTCAAGAGCTAACCGAACTCTCGCAGGTTAGTTTTTTCAATGGTTTTTAAAAGGCTCATGACATAAGAAATCAAATTTGTCTTTGTGCCACTAAAACATCCTGCAGGTTTTATAGCTCCTTATTACAAATAAAGCATTAAAATTTTCCCGCCACCAGAGCAAGAATCGACGAATAGTTACAGATCAATGCACCATAGGCCCCGCCCACTGGCATTCAGTCACTTAATGGCTACACTGGATGTGAGCGTCACGTCAGAAGTAAATATAACCCATTATAATCACTGACGCTGTCTACACTGGATACAGTATATAGATGTGCGTTCAGTTTCTGACATACTCTATGCGCTTGAGTCTGCAGACAACAGGACAAATGGACGAGTGAATGAACGTTAGCTTTGGCAGTTTAAACAGCTAGTTTGTGTCCCAGTGCTGGGAACAAGCAGATGGTTGATTTAATTGGTGTTGCGGATCGCGTTGAAAGATTATATGTTTGTTCAGAGCATTTGGTTTTGTTAAAGGGGTACTCCACTTTTTTTGGAAATAGGCTCATTTTACAACTCCCCCAGAGTTAAACTGTTGAGTTTTACCGTTTTTGAATCCATTCAGGCGATTTCCGGTTCTGGCGGTACCACTTTTAGCATAGCTTAGCATACATCATTGAAGTGGACACGACCATTAGCATTTCTCAAAAAAAAAATGACCAAAGAGTTTTGATATTTTTCCTATTTAAAACTTGACTCTTCTGTAGTTACATCGTGCACTAAGACCGACGGAAAATGTAAAGTTGCGATTTTCTAGGCTGATATGGCTAGGAACTATACTCTCATTCCTGCGTAATAATCAAGAAACTTCACATATACACATATACATATCTCAACTTTACATTTTCCGTCGGTCTTATTGCACGATGTAACTACAGAAGAGTCAAGTTTTAAATAGAAAAAAATATCGAAACTCTTTGGTCATTTTGTTTTTAGAAATGCTAATGGTCTTGTGCACTTCAATGATGTATGCTAAGCTATGCTAAAAGTGGTACCGCCAGAACCGGAGATCGGCTGAATGGATTCAAAAACGGTAAAACTCAACAGTTTAACTCTGGGGGAGTTGTAAAATGAGCCTATTTCCAAAAAAAGTGGAGTATCCCTTTAACAAGGCGCAGTGTAATGGAGGGTTCGCAAAGAAACTTTTGTTGAAAGATGAAGCAGCCAGCTGGATTGGATCTTACAGCAGCTGCATCACAAACTGTAAATGATTTCATAATGCTTTGTCTGTTCAGATTGAAAATTTACTGGAGCTGGTTCGAATTGAGCAGAACATCTACAACATAGTATTCCACGAGCTAATCCGCCAGGTCAGCGTTGAATGTGCCGAGAGGGGTCAGCTCCTTGCCAAGCTCAGGTCTCCATCACTGTTTTACCTCTTATTTTTCCTTCTCTGTGTTTTCATTAGAGAGTGACTTCACTTCCTCTTCCACTTGTCTAGGCAGAGGTATGTGTCTCTAATTGACCGCATCCCACGGCAGGTGAAGGGTCTGCACACAGAAACCTTAGCGCAGAAGGCTCTAGACCGCCGGCTCACTGAAAACATCATTCACTTCAAAAGCTCCATTGCAAAGCTCAATATGTAAGCTTAACACAACTTAAAAATTGACAGTTGAGTGTGATTTTTTTAATTATTTTTTTTACCTCATGTATATTTAATCTCTAAAAGGGACCTGAGTTCTTTGAAACAACATGATGAGAGTGTGTCCAAAGAGGCAGAGGAAACCAAAGAGGAGCTTGCTAAAGCCCTGGAGGAGTCACAACGCAATGCAAAGTGTGTGAATGAATCATTAAACCAGTTTATTAGTGTGAACAGAGTGTTTACTACGGATTCACATTAATTTAATGAAACTTTATATCTGTCTGGTTGAAATAACATTCATTCTGCAGTATTGTGGCAGAATACCATGAGCTTTATGAGCTGCAGAGGAGAAGACTTGAAGGACAGATGTCCCAGCTATATGATGAAGGAGACCTCTGGAGAAAAGCCACCTACAGTCTTGCAGTCAAGGTGATCTTTTGTCACATTCCCCTTGACATGTTAGATAACAAGCACAATTCACTAATTTGGACTCTCCTATTGAAAGAATTTATAATATTTGACTCTAAATGTCTCACATTTTTCTTTCAGATAGTAAAGATAAATAAACTTTATCTGGTCAGACGGCTAAATATTAGTGAGCAGACCTGGGCCAATACTGCAGATCGTTTCACTGGTTTCCTAACAACGAAGGTACACTTACAATATCTCTTACCTCAGTCTGTCAAGACTATAACATGTAGACTAATGGTTATATCCATGTTATTTTTATTCACAGGACTCGGAGGATGTATCCCATATCATGGAATTGACTGACCGATGGAAAGATAAACTGACCAACTTCATGAAGAATCTCAGAAAGGCTGAAAGCAACCAACGCGAGACCATCAAATCTGTCAATGCTAATTTTGTCAAGTGGCACAAATTTTATGAAGACAAATCAAGGTCAGTGAAGAAAATGTTGCTTTTTTTCATTGTATTTGTATGATTTTTATTGACTTTTATTGTCTCTCTTATGGTTCGTTAGGAACCCTAATATGAAAGTTGACGAGCTGTCTGAAGACCTGAAGCAATGGTCAAAGGTTAGCAATCCTTTTTTATTTCTTACTCAATTATCTTTGTAAAACTGTTTAACTTTAAATGTAAAAATTATAGCTATCTATGTTCCAACTATAGGTGTTGATGCAGCAGTGTGAGCGTTATGGAGGGGAGGACCTAGTGTCTGGTCAGGAAACACTTGAAATGTTAACTAGCCTACAAGAGTCCTGGGTTGAGGTTTGCCTCCAGCTCTTTAGGAGACACCCTGGTCTAGATGGAGTGCCACCTAAAGGCCAGGAGGCCATGAGGGAGCTGGCAAAGACCATCACTGAGCTCCAGAATCAACTGGGAATCCGTATCAATGGAGAAAGTGGTGAGAACCAAGGCCTTTGGTTCCTGACATAGTCTTTTTTTTCTCAAATGGATATCAATATCTGCTCTTGATTGTTAATGCAGGTATTCACGCAACGCTAATGTTGCTTATTGAAACTATGGAGTTCTGGTCGAGAAGATTAAAGGCCTTGAGTGCACTTCCAGAGGAGCAGTCTTCGGGTGATTCGCTTATGTTGGAAGAAGCTCTTGGCAAGATGATGAATATGTCTGATGAGGCTCTTCTGCTAGTGGACAGCACACAGTTAGAACGTGACAGGGCTAAAAAGAAACCCCACACCAAGTAAGAGAGATGCAAGGGACAAACAGTATAGCTATCTTGACAAACCTAGTAAGTACCTTTCTATGTACTGTCTAAATAAGCGGCTACTTTCTAAGGCAGCATCGTAGCTGAAATGGAGCCTCATAGATGACTGATTTGGAACAATCTACTTGGACACAAGACTTGATTCATGTTTCTGGTTGAACCATGTCCAATTTCCCTGTGTGACAGGATTGAATTGGATGATGTCTTCAAGACAATGAAGGAATTCCTGTTCTCTCAAGAAAACTTTTTCCACTGTGAAAATATGAGGCTTCGTGACGAGGTACAGCATAGACCTGTGTAACCTTTCTTTTATTCCCTAAGTCAGGGGTGTTCATACCTGTTCCTGGAACTCACCTTCCTGCAGAGTTCAACTGACCTGGGCTGCGTTTCCCAAAAGCATCGTAAGCCTAAATTGATTGTAGAATAATTGCCACCAATGGTCTCTACGATCAACTTAGAATGCTTTTGGAAAACGGTGTCCTAGGCTTGAAAAGACAAGCATCATCACTCATGGCTAAGAGCAGGACAGCTGCGTCTCCAAAAGGCATTGTAACCCAATGGTCTCTATGATCTACTTATGCTTTTGGAAAATGCAGCCCTGGAGATTTAGAGTAATCCTGAAGACCTTGATTAGCTGGTTCAGGTGTGTTATCTAGGACTCGAGTGAAACTGTGCAGTAAGCCATGAGTAAGGATCTCATCTTGTGTTGGTAGGTAGCTTCACTTCACACAAAGCTGATTCGCTGGATGGTGGACCTTCTGCTACTAATGGTGCCAGTCCATTATGATCAGGAACCGTATCTTCCAATGCCCGAATTGAACGTCATTGTGGACGTGTCTGTTGAGAAGCTAGAGGAGGATGCTAGGAACCTCTCTGGGAAGCTTGACTACTTTTCTAAGTATATCACAAGGTAACCTCACTAAACTCAACATCTTGAGAGGATACACCTTAGCTAGTTATGGTTAAGCTGAAATTCATTACACAACTTGTCGTGCAGCTCTTGTCAGGCTGTTGTGGAGGAGGTGATCCGGAAGAAAACAACTGACACAGAGAATGAGTTGTATCAACTAGCCAAACTTCAGGTGCTTAGCAATTAAGATCTCTTTCTTGAGTAGCAATGGAGATTGACATCCTGCCTGAAATGTCACTGCGTCTTGTGCACTGTGTTTGTTCAGAAAGAGTGTGGTGAGTGGGTGGAGACCTGCCGGATACTACTGTCAGATGTGAAGGGAAACATGGTAGAACTGCAGTTGTCTGGAAAAACTGTAACACAGCCTGTGAGTGACATCCGTATGGACTGTGGTAGAATACAGCTATGCCAAGTAGTACAAAATGTGAATAACCTCCTTGTACATCTTCTTAGGTCGAGCAACAACCAGAGGAACTTACCGAAGAAGAAGAGGAACCAGCCATGAAAGATTCCATTGGGTCTTATTCTTTCCAAAGAGCTGATGAATATGTAACTAACACTTTTCATATAAGCTGTTTGCTTGCTAGCCTTATAGCTAGCTTGGTCCAATGGATTAGCACCCAAAAACACTATTAAATGCCACCAAATCACCTCCACAGGAGGATGAAGCAGCCAGCAGACATGACAAAGATGGCTCAGTCATCAAGCTAGTTGGTTATGATGGCAATATCACTGAGAAGAACTTAGGAGAGTACACCGTCCAACTTAGAGGGGTGAGTATATCGGATCTTCTCCATGTGATCAGCATCCCATCTACAGAGCAAAGCATTAATCATCAAAATCTTAATATTTTCTAGACTGAAGAACTTGTGCTGTCTCCTCACACTGAAAATGCCCGGGATGCCTTCAATGCATTAGAAACAGTGAGAGCTCTTCAACAAGAGCTTCTGTAAGTATTAGCATTGTGAACTTAAATTTCTCTTTAATGAGATCCCATAGTTCTTTTCTACATAAGCTATATTTTCCAGAGAGGTTGAAACACGGGCTATAAGTGCGGAGGAACGAGCGTTAAAGGCAGAGGAAGACCTACAGGCAGCTCTGGACAAGATACAAGATCTGGAGAGGCAGTTACAGGCTCGTCCCAGTGTGGAGACCAAGTGTAAGTGTGTCAGGGGCTAACATTACACTTCAGATACTGAACAAGACGGGTAAAGGTGCAGTCACATATGTTGTGGGCACAAAGGTCCATTGTCTATTGTCTATTGTCAAAAGTGTAACAAAATATGAAGCACTGCTCACACAGAAGTAACTTTCAAATCAAACAGCTTTCTGTTGTGACCTGTTGGGAAATGTGTGTTGGGAAATCTTTTGGCCAAAATTCCCAAAATGGTAGATTCCTATTGAAATTTGGATTTTGCCTCTGAAAATTCGCCAAACAACGGTAAATGTGACCGCACCTTAATTTGTGTTGGGAGATCTTTTTAGTCTTATTCTTAGGCCTTAAATGGGCTTTGAAGTAGTTTCTTGCAATTTTAACCCTCTGGTTTTCGTTTTTTTTTTTTTTTTTTTTTTTTTTTATTATTCATTTTCTGACTATTTTCAGTGAGCAAGAAGAAGGTTCCACCAGCACCCAAGACCCCCAGCACCCCTGTTGCAACTTCTGAAGCTCAGAAGACAAGAAGTCCGAAATCTGAAGCCAGCTCGAAACTGTCCAGAGACAAGAAACACTAAATGCGAATAAAAAAACGTACTAGAGCTCATGTGGGGCAAAGTAATAAAGTATTTAATAGACACATCTGTATTTAAAGTGTGCACATATCATTAATGATTAAGATTACATTTAACAGTGTTATTAAATTATAGTGTTTTTTTAAAGATTAGCTTTAAGTGACTACCAATATATTATGCATATCTACGTAAAATTAGTAGTATGAAGCTGCTCACGTCTTCACAAGTAAACACTGACAAACACGCTGTCTTTACATCATGCGTGAGTCTTTGGTAGCATCTTCGGAGCCGTCAGCTGCGATCAGGCTTTGATTGGCAGGTCGGGTCAAACTGGCGATGTCGATGGATTGGGTCAGGACATCAGGAGGTATGTTGAGGACCACAGCGGGCTGCTCCGAGCGCAGATTGTGGAGGAGCTGCAGGAGTCGAAGGTGCATGACCAGCGGAGAACCAGAGAGAGACTCCACCGAGGCCTTCAAAGCTTCACAAGCTGCCTTTTCTCCCTCCGCCGCGATCACCTGTGATACAGCGCAGCGCAGTGGTTATAGAGCTAGGTTAGTAACTAAAGGGTTGTAGGTTTGAATCCCATTTTGCACCGTTGGCCTTACTTTGACTTGTGCTTGACGTCTCGCTTCGGCCTCCACAGCGAAGTTGTGTTGAAGAGCAGGTGGAAGACTGATTTCTTCTCTGCAACAGTGGACATATGTTATGAGTAACTCCATGGAACTTCCTTTGGAGTTTAATCTGTTATTTACATTATGTACTTACATTTCCGCTCTTTCCACTTTGATTCCCCACCTGCAGGTTACCGAATCTAAAGTGACCTGTCCAACAAATGAAAACTTTGTTAAAACTTCTTATTTCAAGGCCTCATGAGGTGTCATATCTGTTGAGGTACCTGAACCTCCTGGGCCATCCGTTTCCTGTCCAGCAAAATATCAGTGAAGGCATGATGGGCCAGTATCTCTCTAACAGAGACCTGGGTCAGAGCCTGCAGCACATCTGGGACACCGGCGAGGGATGAATAACACACGGACACATTCTCGATACGATAGTAACACACCGCACTCACTTCGGTACACACCAGATCTTTGGTCACCACCTGAGGATGTATGGACATTCAAATCATATGGTGTTTATTCTTTTTCAGGCTTGTGATTTTCTTGGCGGACGTATTGTATCTTTACATATATTCATTTAGGAGACGCTTTTATCCTAAACGACTCACATATACATTTTATCAGTTGTTTTCTCTGAAATCGAACCCATGACCTTGGTGTTGCAAGCACCATGATCTACTGTTTGAGCTACACAAAAGCCCTGTCTAGAGACTTATGGGTTACCAACTGCCTCCCTCATGTTTACATACGTCAGTGGGATGGTATTTGTCATTGTCAGCTTTTTAGAGTGCACTTCATTTGATGACTCGGAGGTCGTCTCAGAAAATACAACGCAAACTTACACATGCAGAAAATATGGAAAATACTTTTTTTGTTACCGTGTGAGGAGGGATCTTCAGTATTTTCAGACGAACGTCCACTATATGGCACACATCCAAAAATGGGAGATAAAACATCAGCCCTGCAGCAAAATTAAACATGCATGTTATAAAATTCAAAAATATTAAATTATTAAAAATAATGTTTAAATGATTTCTTATTTATATTAACATTAAAATAATAGTACAATTAATGTAATACAATAATTAACATTAACACTGAAATATTAAGTTCACATAACTTAATTTTTTTCAATTACAGAAGTTATTAATAATTTAAAGGCAACAGGTTTCCTCACTTTTTTAAGTTGTCAACTGATCACTTTATATATATATATATATATAAAGTGATCAGTTGACTTAACTTAAAAAAAGTATATACATTTATATACACACATATATTATATATTTACAAACTTTTATGTTAGATGCCATTAATCGATTTGACAGCACTAATTATTAATAATGAAATATTTTAAAATAAGATGTATTAATTGTAAAAAAATATATATATATATATATTTTTTAATAATAAATTCTTTACATAAAAACTGCAAATATACTAAAAGTGTTAATATGTAAATGAAAACGTACCAGGGCCCCTGGGTCTCTTCTGCAATAAATGACCCAACCGAAATATCACCGCTCTCTCATGTTCTCTCACAATCTACAAATAAACATTGTATATAAATTATAGTTATTGGAATTAAAAGAGTTATCAAATACACTCACCGGCCACTTTTTTAGGTACCCCATGCTAGTAACGGGTTGGACCCCCTTTTGCCTTCAGAACTGCCTCAATTCTTCGTGGCATAGATTCAACAAGGTGCTGGAAGCATTCCTCAGGGAGTTTGGTCCATATTGACATGATGGCATCACACAGTTGCCGCAGATTTGTCGGCTGCACATCCATGATGCGAATCTCCCGTTCCACCACATCCCAAAGATGCTCTATTGGGTTGAGATCTGGTGACTGTGGAGGCCATTTTAGTACAGTGAACTCATTGTCATGTTCAAGAAACCAATTTGAAATGATTAGAGCTTTGTGACATGGTGGAAGTAGCCATCAGAGGATGGGTACATGGTGGCCATAAAGGGATGGACATGGTCAGAAACAATGCTCAGGTAGGCCGTGGCATTTAAACGATGCCCAATTGGCACTAAGGGGCCTAAAGTGTGCCAGGAAAACATCCCCCACACCATTACACCACCACCACCAGCCTGCACAGTGGTAACAAGGCATGATGGTTCCATGTTCTCATTCTGTTTACGCCAAATTCTGACTCTAACATCTGAATGTCTCAACAGAAATCGAGACTCATCAGACCAGGCAACATTTTTCCAGTCTTCAACTGTTCAATTTTGGTGAGCTCTTGCAAATTGTAGCCTCTTTTTCCTATTTGTAGTGGAGATGAGTGGTACCCGGTGGAGTCTTCTGCTGTTGTAGCCCATCCGCCTCAAGGTTGTGCGTGTTGTGGCTTCACAAATGCTTTGCTGCATACCTCGGTTGTAACGAGTGGTTATTTCAGTCACTGTTGCCCTTCTATCAGCTCGAACCAGTCTGGCCATTCTCCTCTGACCTCTGGCATCAACAAGGCATTTCCGCCCACAGAACTGCCGCTCACTGGAAGTTTTTTCTTTTTCGGACCATTCTCTGTAAACCCTAGAGATGGTTGTGCGTGAAAATCCCAGTAGATTAGCAGTTTCTGAAATACTCAGACCAGCCCTTCTGGCACCAACAATCATGCCACGTTCAAAGTCACTCAAATCACCTTTCTTCCCCATACTGATGCTCGGTTTGAACTGCAGGAGATTGTCTTGACCATGTCTACATGCCTAAATGCACTGAGTTGCCGCCATGTGATTGGCTGCTTAGAAATTAAGTGTTAACGAGCAGTTGGACAGGTGTATCTAATAAAGTGGCCGGTGAGTGTATATCTTGATTTGTAATATTTAGTCTCAAAAACTGAAAGCATACCTTCACACAGAACCAGATTAAAATAGGAAAGAAGAAGATCACCACAGACAGGACCAAAACGATGAGAAGCTGCTCACAAACTCCAAGGTATCTCTTCTTCAAGCCTTTCGAGAAAAATAAATGATGAGTGACAGAAGAACTCAGGTTCTCCATCTTTTTTTAGATGTTTTCTTGTCTAAACTTACCTTCTCCAGGCCCCTCAGTCTCCAATAACCCCAATAACTCCTCTCGATCTTCTTTAATCCGCTCCCTTACGCTGTCTACATTTACAACCGTGCTGCTGGAGATCATCTGAGGCTCTTTGGATTCACCACTTTCTTCTTCTTCAGTCACTTCTGGTTTTTCTCTTCTTTTGTGAGGCTCTTGGAGCTTGACGGATTTGGGTGCTTTGGTTTTTCTCTCTTTGGGAGAAGGTGACGGCTCCCTCTTTGTCCGTCCAGATCTTGAAGAATGAGATGTTTCTGCTCTTTTCTCCATCTCTGCGAGAAGCATGTGGTGTTCAGTGAGAGGAGCATCTGCTGTGAGGTTTCATCTGGTGTCTGCTCAGCTCCTGTGTTCTGAAGGGGAGGATTTCTGTAGGCCTGTGGAGGTTTATGATGATGGGGGAGTGTTTGAGCTCTTCTAATGAATGTTTCACAATGGTGGCCTCCTACACAGTTTTGTTAGATGCACTAAATGTAAAATCACGTGCTACAAAAAGCCTCATTTTTATGTTCTCTGAATGTCCTCTAAATGTTTATTTATAATAATGCTGAACATTTTTTATTATTTTTAAGGTTTAGATTAAACATTGGCTGTCTGTCTATCCGTATATCCGTCTATCCGCCTATCCATCTATCTATCTGTCTGTCTGTCGTTCTATCTATCGTTCAATCGATCGTTCTATCTGTCTGTCTGCCTGAAAAGGAACATTTAATAAAATAAGACAATACGTTTACTCTCTATCACACTGAGCATTTTAAATAGATTCAGACAGTAGGTGAAATTGACTGTGAAAAGTCAATACTGTAATATTCAAAAAGAAATTGAACATTTGTATTTAAAGTAGGCTATTTTTGCAGAAACGTTTTACATGTAAACTGAAAATTCTCAGTTGATTGTTCATTTTTACACTTTCATGTCTTTCTCTAACACATACAGTATATCTTCTTAGTTACATATCTTCCTATTGCTCTTCCGTGACAATCATTTTTAGTTTACATGTAACACATTTTGTAGAAAAAAATGTACTGTAAAAATACAAATGTGTTAAGTTGGTTGATTGGTAAGATTATGATTCCTATTGCATTACAACTGCAGGCCATTTGCCAATTTAGAAGACATTACAAACATTCCATGTCATAAATATTTATGTAACTTAACATGTCTGACAGATTTTGATCACTGAATGGAGCATTTTGCATGTGATTGCTCATACGATGAAAGAATGTTTAGAAGTTGTGAAGAGTTTGACAATTTTACTGAGAATGAACTCATCAGTTTTGATCAACAAGCCATGTGCATTTAGTCATTGTACAAATTGTAGACAACTTACTATTTTGCACACGTGCCAACAATTTGCTTAAATCAATGAGAAATTCAAATCTGATATGAACAAGAAACTGTTCAGAGATCTGAACTTATTGTTTTGAGAAAAAAAAGTCTAATTTGAGAATTGAGCCAAAGCGATTGAGGAAAAATGTAATATCAAGGACGGGTTGTGTGTGTTGTGTATACAGTATATAAACAACAAGCAACTAAAACAATAAATCTCTAGTTCTGTCATGGAACTATAAGGCACAGGCTGATTGGTCCTTAACGCAGCTGATGATATTTACAACGTTAACTTGGCACAAGCTGATTGGTTCATGCCACATATGCAGCCAATGAGCTTGCTGCATGCTCAACATTTAAATGGTTGGTTACCATTCACTAGCATTTTGCAGCATGCTTTCAGAGTTCGTCTAAAACCCTCCACCTCCCCAGCTCCACCTGTATAGATCTGCTATGGGTAATTGATAAATGCTATTTGTGCAGCACTATATTTTACATGCTCACAGCAGTGTATCGGCATATGTATTGGCAGTGCAAGTTCCCATACTTGCTCTGCAGCAGCATTCGCAATATTCACACCCTGATTACCATAGTCTCCAGATGACAACACGTGACGTTCTATTCGGATCTGTTCACGTCCTCAAACTGGGAATGACACTATTAACGCCCATATCAATCTGCAGCGGTTATGTGGTACAAGTAGGATCTCTCAGAAAAGTCCCATTTTACAAGCTGTAGCCTAATCACGTGCTCTTACAAGGAGGTGGATGCTTTTTACAAGTTGAAACTTTGAAATTGTGGTAATTTTCAACATGTTTGCAAAATACTTAAGTTTATATTTATATATAAATTTGCAAATAATATATATATATATATGTGTGTGTGTAAAGTATTTTTGAATTAAAAAAAACAAACATAACATGCATGTAACATGTTTTTAGCACCTGGTTCCCGTAGTTTTTGTAGCACATTTTGTATAGTTTTTATTTCATTTAAGAGAAATGGAAAACTACACAATCTGGTAAAAAAAAAAAAAAAAAAAAATCCAAAAAAAAAAAAAAATCATGTGAAATAAAGAAAAAGAACGCTATACAACAAAAACATTGAAGCCATGTGTAAACTCGGAATGTGCGGTCTCAGCTGCACGAGCAGCTTGACTGAATGCTGATAAAGCACGTGTCTCACGGAGTCTGCTGCATCTGCCCACAGAGACGCTAATGAAATACAGTTTCACCTGCACTCTGAAAAGTTCATCTCGGAGGATATTTTTGACATACGCTTCGCTCTATTGACGTCATTGCGCTGCACCTGTGTGATACAAAATTCGCATTTTTAAAAAACGCGGCCTGTCGCGTGATCTGCACGGAACGAGAAAACGTGTTTATCTTGCACAAAAGGTAATTATTTGTCCACAAACTACAACCGTAGACATATAAACTATATAAATGCATGCTTTTAAAGCCGTTGCGTTAAGTTGTCAATAGCCTAAATTACAATGAACGGTGAATTATTATTTTTGTCTGTTATTATTTAGCAGTTGGTTAACTCGTGTGTTGACATCATGATGAACTAATATTTACTTTAAAACTGTCATGTTTCTGTCAGCAAATTAGTAAGTAAATTCTGTTTTTAGCTGTCAGAATGACCCAAGACCAGCTCCTCGCGGGTTTGAAGAAGGACGTCCGGTCTCTCTTGATCTCAGCTAAGCGTGGCTTGACCCCTGAGCAGCTCAAGAGAGACTACCAGACCATGCTGGGCTTCCCCATTCCCCTCAGGTTACTGGGATTCAGAAACGTTTTGGATATGGTCAAGGAAATGCCGGATGTTGTGCACTTGGATTACCACTTTGATGGCAGCATCATTTTAAAAGGTGATTTCAGTATTTCATCCCTTTTGTTAGCTGGTAAATCATTGTTTATGGCCTAGAGAATGTCTATACTGTGTATATATTAATGCTAAAACTTCTTGAAGACACCATTTGTAGGATTTACGACTTGCTATTGATAGAAGCTCTTGGTATTAGGGGGAGGGGCTTTCTCAGTCTAGAGAGCATTTGATTGGACAAACATTTGAATACACACCTAAGTGCAAGATGAGTCATCAATACTTTTGTTTGGTTTTGACTTGATATCTGTGAAAGGGATACTCCACCCAAGAAATTAAAACGCTCTCATCATTTACTCACCCTCATGCTGTCTCAGATGTAAATGACTTTAGTTCTTCTCTGGAACACAAGCAGAGATTTTAAGTGAGAAAAGTACTAATATTTTAAACTTATTAAACCATCGCTTCAGGCCAACTGTCAAACGTGCATTCGCTGGACATAAATGCTAGCATGTTGTGAAACTCGTGCAAGAAATGACGCTGAGTTTCACAATGCGCTTACATTGCGTTCCACAGTTCCAGAACTGATTTGCATGTTTCCTACACACACACACACCCCTATTGTTTCGCTTCAGAAGACATTGACTGGGGTTGTATGGATTAGTCATTTATATTGTATTGTTTTTGAAGTGTTAACCTTGAAGGACCCATCCACTTGCATTATATGAATTTACAGAGATAGATTATTTTTCTAATAATCTCAGTTTGTGTTCCACAGATGAAATATTTCTCCTTGCTGTACTGAGAACATACCGAACTGTCACTTTAAAACTGAGGTCATTTTTGTGTAGTGTAGTTAAAGTTTTTTTCCATTTGCAGCCATTGGAGACGAGAGCACTAAAGGCATCGAAGAGCTAGTGTCCAAGCAACGGGACCACAAACCCAAACCCAAAGTCAACAATCGGAGGGGAAATCTGGTGAACTTCCACACCTCTTTCCCACGGCATCAGCCTGTTATTCTCCCTCGGCGTGGCCCAGCAAAGCCCGCCCTGCCTGCTCAGCTGCGTAGCCAACTAAAACAATTACTATCTCATGGGCCGGTCAGATTATCAGAGCTGGAATACAGGTATACGGTGCAGTTCGGAAAGCCGCTCCAGATCACTCAATATGGCTTCTACTCCATATCCGAGATGCTGGCGGCTGCCACGGATTTCATAATTATGCAGCAGAGTCGCACTGGCTCGCAACTACTTCTGAAAAGCTCTTTAGTGCCACTAAATCAGACCGAAAATCAGATGCCGAGGCTTTCCAAGAAGTGTATGTATATGATATTTAAATCTATTGAAAGCCTTGTTTGATGATCTTTTGCATGATGATTGCTCTTGATTTTATTTTGCAGTGGCACCTCCTTTGGTGGTAAAACAGAAGCCGGTGGGATTCAGTCCTAAGGCAACTTCACCGCCTAAAAGGGACCAGCAAAGTTCCCCCTTGTCCCCTGCTGTTCCTAAACCAGAGCCTGTGAAGAAAGAGCACTCTTTTGAAGAAACCATTTTTAAGGTTTGGATATTGTCTAAGCGCTTGTATGAAATAAGTGTGATATTTCGCTGTAATTGTGCTATAATTAAATCAATACTGTCGGGGTAAATCTTCTTCCAGCTTGAGGAGGAGCTCAGACAGCAGATTCTCGAGAAGGGCACCGCTGGGTCCGTCAGCCGCGAACTGAAAGATAAGCTACGGAAGGTCAGACATATCTGCTTAAAAACTCAGCCTTTCTTGTCTCATATTCTCACCTTGGCTTATGAGATATGGATCTTATTTCAGGTTGTAGCTGAAAATGGCAATGGGATCTCCATTCACAATCTTCCCACAGAATACAAGGTATTATCATGTCTGTCTAGAACATATCTGAGTTAATATCTGAAGAAGAAATTAAGAAATTGTATTTTGCATGCAGAAAATGAAGCCTATTTTTGGGGGCATTAATATTTTATGGTTTTTTTTCTTTTGTATAAGGTATAATATGTGGTCAGCCAGAAGTTTTTGCAAAATAAACCATGCCATGATGGTCAGAATCTTGTTTCACTCTGTGAAAACTACAACATCTTATCCTCAGCTATATTTTTGAGTTGCTAGATGACACTATTCTAACTTGTGGTCTGTTTTTTGCTGTTAGCGAATGTATAGTGAGGAGTTGCCGGTGAGCCAGTGTGGCTTTCTGAGCGTGACTGAGATGGTTGGTGCTTTAAGTGATACATTTTCCATCCAAAGAGGTGCTGATGAGAGTGAAAACCACTGGATGGTCGTGGAGTTCAAACCAAATGACACACAACCCAGTAAATCTGGTACTCCCCTTTCTTATTTGTTTCATATGGATTGGAACAAAACAAACGAGTGCTTCAGATTCATTGATCACTTTTAATGAGACTTTGATTGTGATGTATTCCTTTTGCAAGAATTATCCCCGGGTCACGGCACCACTTCCAGTCCGACGGATGAATCACAGAATCCCTCCAGCAAGGCCTATTACTTGAGCTATGCAGAATCTGCCTGGGAGCGCGAAGAGACGGAGCAATCCACAGACCCTCAAGAGTCTGACGCTGAGCTCAGAGTCACCAATAAAACCATCCATCAGGTTAAGAGTCATTAGTGATAATCCATTATCTTTCCTTCCCAGATTAATCATCCCCTACAGTAAACTTTTCAGAGTTGCACTTTTGTAATGTCAATATTTAATTTAAATAAATACATAAAATTGGTGTTAGTGCTGTCAATCGATTAATTGCATCTAACATAAAAGTTTGTGTATATATATATATATATGTATGCATGTATATATATATATGAAGACTTCAGATGCAAAAACCTCTGACATTTTTCTTTTAAATTAGCATTTTCATCAGGCTCCTATGTTTGGGTTCAGAAATTTCACTTTAATGGCAATGAAAAGGTTATTTAGTTATTGAAATGCCTTATTTTAAAAAATGTCACTGATAAGTGTAAAATTAAAAACCTAAAAATACTAATTTAAAAGAAAAATGTCAGATGGACTTAGAGGTTATGCATCTGAAGTATAAATACACACACACACTATAAACTTATGTTAGATGCGATTTGTCGATTTGACCGCACTAACTCCAAAGTATGCATGAATACTTTATTTATTCAAAATATATTTGGCATTATATGTTGTATTATATGCTGCAAATTATATTATAAACCAAAACATAATTCTAATCTTTATATATGTATATATATATATATATAAAATATGAATATAAATTTTACATGATATTTACAGATATACAGATATCTGTTTATATATATAAAAACAGAGATATCTGTAAATATCATGTAAAATTTATATTCATATTATGTTATAAACTAAGATATATAACTTATGTTACATAATAAAATATGATGTATTAAATGACAAAAAAAAATGTATATACTGTATATATAGATGGATATCTGTATATACTAAACAAAAAAACTAAAAATGTATAGATGGATATCTCTATATGCTAAAACAAAAAAATCAATGTGTGTGGCTGTTTGTTGTAGATGGGGGATCTTTTCCCAGAGTTGATGGTGAGTCATGTAACAGCGGTTCCTCCAGACGCGGTGCGCTGCCAGAAGCTGAAGTCGCCCAATCGCAGGAGAGAGAGAGAGCTGGTGCCAGTCCTGGTGGAGCAGACAGAGTCACCCAGCCACTTCTACATCCGCTTCAGCCAAAACAAGGAGGCCAGAGCCCTGGAGAACATGATGATTGAAATGAGGTATCTCGCTGACTAATTTCATCATTATTTGGGCCGGGATTGCGTAGCCTGTCATTCCGATCATGCCCAATTCCTGTTTCCAGGAGCTGTTACTCCTACCCAGATGTGGCGGAGAGATACAGGCTGACTGATGCCTATGTGCGGCCGGGTCAGGTGTGCTGTGTGGCTCCAAGAGACATGTGGTTCTACCGTGTGGTGATCCATGAGGTGTTCAGTAATACTGAAGTAAAGGTGTACTACGTCGACTTCGGAGACATCACAAAAGTGGAACGAAACAGCCTCAGATTTCTCAAGTAAATTCATAATTTATTATAAATTAAAGTTGGACATATTTTTGTATCTCTGCTGCTCTGTATAATCCGAAAATCTTTCCAGAGCTTGTTACGCTGATCTCCCGGCTCAGGCTGTCCCAGCAATGTTAGCTGGAGTTCGGCCCATCACGGTAAGAAGTGTTGTTATTGTTAACTAAAACTATTAAAAATTGTTTTTGATAATTGAAATTAAAAAGTTGAAATTGAAGTTTTCGCCTACTGTTTTTCTAATACAATGTATTCGCACATGTATAGTATATAGTAGGGAAATATTCGACTTCGGACGCAGCGTATAAGTCTTTTTTTTTTTTTTTTACAATTAATTAAAAGACCTGCCACTCAAGAGTCTTTTATTTTTGAATCTGAATACAATTGTTGTGTTGTATTTTTTTTTTTCATGCAGTAGTGTTGATCCAGTCTGTATTTAAAACAACACTAGAAACATGTCTTGGCTTTCTTCTCAGAGCATTTGGACTCAGAGTGCTATCAGCTCTTTCCAGAGGATGTGTTGTGAGCGCACTCTGGTGGCCGCCATTCACAGCTACCAGAACAACTTCCTGTTGCTCTTTCTGTGCGACACCAACACAGAGGAGGATGTTTATGTTCACGCCGCCCTACAGAAAGAGGGCCACGCCCTTCCCTGCGTTACCGCTTACGGATTGGTCGGGACACAAATCTTCATTGTACCCACTTACGGTAAAACCTGATTAAAATCTGATCTCCAGTGGTTGCTTGTTTCTTCTCGTTTGGCTTTTTAGGTGTCAGGGCAGTTCAATCCATTGACGTCTTACCTCGGAGATGATCAGATCGATGATGTAAAGGAGTCTCTCACACCCTCCACATGTTCTCCGGATATAGAGATCCGCTCTCAGGGATATGGCTCTCCATGCTCCTCTCAAACGGTAACTTTAATCAAGCTTCCAGTGTCATGATACAGCACTGATGGGCCGTAAGCTCTCTGTGAATTACAGTGGCCTTCAACTGTGCCGATGGAGGGTAGGTCTGTCTGCTGAGGCTGTAAATAGAGGAATATTATGGGTCCTATGGGTGCTGTTTAAGGGACGTATATCAGTTTTTACTCAAGTAGTGCGAGTTATGTAATCCGATTACTTTTTCAAGTAACTAGTAAAGTAATGCATTACTTTTAAATTATCCAATGGCTTTGCTGCTGACCTTCAATGGTCAAATTCAACCATACTAAGCAAAGAAATGACTTTAGTTAAAACAACGCATTTGTGTGTTTTTTTTTATTATTATTGTTTAAGTACGAGTATTGAACTTTTCTCTTTTGGTGTCATTTCACTTTTGGTGTGAAAGGGCCTTTACATTTGCCAAAAACAGAACTTTAGTTTTTTGTTATTAAAAAAACAAACAAGCAAGCCCAGCCCAGGTGAGCAAAAGTACAGTAACTCATTACTTTCTATAAAAAGTAACTAAGTAATGCAGTTAGTTACTTTTTTTAAGGGAGTAATGTAATATTATGCATTGCTTTTAAAAGTAACTTTCCCCAAATGCTGAATGTAACAATGTTTAATTGGCTTAAAGATGTCTGGATGGGATATTTGCACAATATTTGCTTTTGATGACACTTCAGGTTCTATTAAACAATCAAAATATGAGGAGTATGTTATATTGGGAAGAAGAATACACTAAACATGGTTAAAGTATTTAAAGTACAATTATTTGGCAAGAAAGGCATATACAGGTGAAACTCGAAAAATTACAATATGGTGCAAAAGGTCATTTATTTCAGTAATTCAACTTGAAATATCTCACTTTGCATGTAATGAGTCTATATAATATATTAGTTTCACCTTTTAAGTTGAATTACTGAAATAAATGAACTTTTGCACGATATTCAAATTTGAGTTTCACCTGTAATTAAATATGGGTTTTATTGTATTATGCAAAAAAAGCATGGAAAAACAAAAAACTCCACTTTTTTTTGGAAATGGGCTCATTCTACAACTCCCCCAGAGTTAAACTGTTGAGTTTTACCGTTTTTGAATCCATTCAGCCGATCTCCGGTTCTGGCGGTACCACTTTTAGCATAGCTTAGCATACATCATTGAAGTGGTCAAGACCATTAGCATTTCTAAAAACAAAATGACCAAAGAGTTTCGATATTTTTCCTATTTAAAACTTGACTCTTCTGTAGTTACATCGTGCACTAAGACCGATGGAAAATGTAAAGTTGCGATTTTCTAGGCTGATATGGCTAGGAACTATACTCTCATTCCTGCGTAATAATCAAGAAACTTCTAAAAAAACTAGAAAATCGCAACTTTACATTTTCCATCGGTCTTAGTGCACGATGTAACTACAGAAGAGTCAAGTTTAAATAGGATAATAGGAAATATCGAAACTCTTTGGTCATTTTTTTTTTTTTTTGAAATGCTAATGGTCTTGTGCACTTCAATGATGTATGCTAAGCTATGCTAAAAGTGGTACCGCCAGAACCGGAGATCGGCTGAATGGATTCAAAAACGGTAAAACTCAACAGTTTAACTCTGGGGGAGTTGTAAAATGAGCCCATTTCCAAAAAAAGTGGAGTATCCCTTTAATGGCGCCAAGCATGCATTTGGTATTAAAACACTCCGGTTGTCTCCTACGAACGCACCTGACACCATCTAATGCTAGGTTGTTAAATTTGACCGCTCAGAGACTGCAGAACACTGCTCTAATCTTTCACACTCCAATCCTTATGTTCTTTGGCAAATGCAAGGTGTTTTTTGCAGTAGATAAAACTAAATTGTTTCTTTACTGGTTCACAACCTCTTAATCCAGCTTCTACTAGCCATTGGCTGTAAGGTCTTTATAAGCTGTTTGAGGTGGTCCCACATTCAGGTGATTTTCAACCTCCTGTCAAAATGCTCTCTAGTCTTCCTTGACTATCCACAGCATGGTAGTGGTGTCACGGTGCTTTGAAATTATTGTGTGGACATTGTGACTATTCACATGATCCAGCACGAGTAATATCCAAAACCAATTGTAAGGCCTGCCCAAACGGTCCAACACCAGTTTCCGATGAGCGGGTGGAGGTTTCTGCGCGTTACTGTCTTTTCAGTGTGGCAAAGTAATTTACTTAATTACCTTTTTGTTTCATCTGACTCCAAAAATGAAAAGGGTTTAATTGATGTTTGTTAATCATTAAATTTAGGTGAATGTTTGATTATTCTATTTAACTCTTTATTGAAATTACATTCGTTCATCTGGATTCCTATAACACTTCAAGTCTCACACCGGCCTGGTATACAATCTCATAATCACAAGCTCGTCAGTCTCGGTCATTAGACAGAGGCGATTGACTAATATCCTAGACGGCCGTACTCCACTTTGCTCATTCTAGGATATATTATTAGTCACCATAGATCCGAACACACTTAATTAAGGTAAGGTTATATCTAACCAGAGGCCACAACCTTTACCATAGAACCAAGCTGACCAACTTAACTAATTCTAATGGTATCTATATTATTATGCCGTGGTTTCCCACGTACACTTAGTTAGAATAATTAGAGGTTGAGGCTCCACCTAAGGTGAATTCCAGTCCGTTTACTAACCTGATCGTAGAATTGTGGTGTTATGGACTTAACGTAATCTGCTAGAGTTAATAATTTCAGAGTAAGTCAGAATCAATCCAAAATGTAACAATTTATTATTAGTCAGGTAAATGTATCATCCCAATTACATAATCAATTAAAAGATAATCAATACAATACCATCAAATGCTCAGAGATAGATGTTAGAAAAGAAAAGATGTATAAGTTACCTGACATTAGAAAAATACATGATGCTGAGTGTCTTGAGGTAGTTTGGATGAAGGACCCTGGGAAATAGTGATAATACTTAGTGGTTAATTTAAGAACTTAATTGCTTAGTGGTAAGCAAAGTATCTCTAATCCTTATTACCATTTGGTTTACTTCTGTGGAGATGAGACCATTGTACCAGTCGCACTGAGACATTTTAAATGGTACCAAACACGAATGTGAATTCACTTGTATTGACGTAGAACATTTATAATTTTTATATAATCTTTCTAAGTGAAGAGAAGAATGTGTAAAGTGAAGGAAGTGGCGGAGAAGGAACAAATGTGATGGAAGGACAGGAGTGAAAGAAGCTTTCCTGCAACTTCACTCTGTGGGGTGTGGAGACCAATGGCAGTATGTGTTTGTGGTGTCCATATCTCAGGAGATCAAAGCATCGGAGGTTCTGTTTGTCTTACCGATTTAGCCATTTTAACAATATCTTCCTTGGTTGCAGAGGACAGCTTCTTCCATCTGGCCATTTTCACACAAATAACATCTAATAATATAGCTAATGATTGCCACACTCTATTTTATGTTTGATTAGCATTTAGCATTTGTTTATTTAGAAAATCCATACAAGTTCCAAATGTGAGCCAAGCAGTAGTCACAATTTAATTAAAACAATCTATTATATTGCAGTAACTTTCTAATCAAGTTTGTGGCCAAATGACCAAAGTAATTTGCGTTTTGAACTCCAGGGTTCCAGCTCTGAAAATGGACAAACCAACTTCTCCTCCATTGATGTAGAACCAAGCCTGGACCTTCCTGCCCTCGAGTGTATAAATGTTCCTGACGTCAACACTGAGGCTGAAGTGAGTCTTATTCCACCTATGTACAATAATATTTTGGATTTGTTTCTTTAAACCTCATATGTTCTTTCAGAGTGAGAAAGTAAATCCGTTCGAGGCTCTGCAGGGTAAAAACCCATTATGCTGCAGTCAATGGGATCAAGGGTGGACAGCAGAGGACAAAACAGATAAGACGAAACATGAACCTGACGTCAAGACAGAAGACGAATCGAAAGTAAGAACGCCATCTCGTACACAATAGGCATGACACAACAGCTTTTTGAGTGTCAAATGTTTTTTGAGGTAAAATCTGCTCATGAAAGGATTCAGCCTTTCATTCGTTTAGCATACAGTCATCGCTCAGAATGACATGAGGTGCTGTGGTGTGCGTCTGGAGATTTAATCTCCTGACGTATTGTTCCCCATTACAGCCCCGTTCTCCCGCTGAGCCCTTTGGGAGGCAGTTGATCTTAATTGTGCGCTGATTAGATGAGAATGTTAATTAGCCTCTCCGCAGAGGTTCATCTGCTTAATCATTCAACTGAACGGTTCATCGGAAAAGGCAAGTTTCTACAAGAGACGTGCAATAGTAATTTTCGGCTATTTCCAGGATGAAATTTCAGAATCTAGCTTATAAATACGCTGATGCCATATCTTTGTTAAAATAAGTGCTAAAATGCTTTATATTAATTGCCAATAGTCTTATTGTATTGTTATTATTGAAAATATGTTGAAATATTTAATACTTAATATGTATTATAAAAAAAAAAAAATGAAATTAAGACTTTGGTCAGACTTTAGTTTAGGGTCCAATTCTCAAATATATCTACGTTTTATTCTATGACATAAAATGCATCATTAGGGATGCACCGATATGAAAATTTTGGCTGATAACCGATAATTCTTTATTTTTAAAAGCTGATAACTGATGTATTGGCCGATTAATCTAAATCCAAATTTTTATATACATTGAGAGCCTGATTAAAAAAAAACAAAAGTCTGACAATTAAAACCATGTTCAAAGCACACAATTATAATGTTCTCATTATAATTTGATGTAGCCTATATGACAGACTTCTGCTGTTTATTAGAGGTCGACCGATAGTGGATTTTACCGATACCGATATCTAGGTTTGACCGTACATGCCGATAACCGATAATTCAACCGATATTTTTTTTAATGGATACTGGATTAAAAACAAACATCATACTCACAATAAAACAGTGCTGAACTGAAATGTGCTCAATTAAATAAATAAATATGAATATATTAAAACTTTATACAGAAAATAATTTAAACATTAAAATATTACAGGTTTCGTTAGCTATAACCTAGAAACATACGTACATTTCATAGGTAACACTTTGCAAGTCCCATTTGTAAACAAGGATGTATTAACTAGCTTTCATGAACTATATGCATAATGCAATATACCTTTTTACTGCATGTATTAATATGAGCAATACAATTGTTCATTAACATTCATAGTACATTAACTAAGGTAATAAAAGATAAAATAAGAATTAAAACTCCATTTCAAATGCATTAGTAAATGTTGAAATTAACAAACTACCGTAACAATGAATAATTCTTCTACAATTTGTATTAACCTTATTTAATGCTAAAAATGGGATGTTATTGTAAAGTGTTACCATTTCATATGATTCCAAAGAGTCGTGCTTAAAGATGGCCATTAAAATGTAATAAAGAAAAAGACCTGTATACGTAATATAGCCTATAGTCTCTCACTTTATTTGCTTCTATATTTTAGAACACTTGATGATTATCTAATCAAAATAACAAGATCTATTGTAGTGATTAAAAATATCTTAAATCGAACGCGTTTCTGATTGGTTTACGTTTCTGTCGGCTGCATGAATGTATATCAATGTTGAGAAAGCAATCACGTCACTAGTTTTAAATATGCAACTTCGTCGGCTAATGAATGCATAAAAATGACCAGCCGGATAAAAATAATGCAAATAGATGGTAACAATTGCGCCATAAAACATTTGGGTCAGGTCTGCGTGTGTTTTTGTCACATTGCATTAACGGTTGACTGAGGTAATGTCACAGTCCTCACAGCCTCGACGGCAAACTACTGTTCTTTGTCTGCTGATGCAGCATCAAGTCAACAAATGAATTAATTTGTAATGATATGGCAATATGTAGCTACTTTAGTGTTATGTATTCATACCGTTTCGCTGTCGGTGTTTTAAATGTCAGCGCTCTCGCTGCGTGTTCTCTCCGTGCTGCGCGCTGCCCAACGTGTTAACGTAAACAACTCAGCCAGTGATAGTTTGTTATTTGTCCTCTAGAGGCCGCTCTCACTCTGTATAATGCCAGCAGTCTCTTCTGTTCTGAGCGCTCTCGTGCTGTGTAATGACCGCGCGCACTTCTCAGCCGCTCCAGCAACGGACGCAACCCGGAAAAACTATCGGTGTGGATTTTTGCCGATAACGATAGTTCCACCAAACAACTATCGGTGCTGATGAATCGGCAAAACCGATTAATCGGTCGACCTCTACTGTTTATGTTACACTTAACTGTATGTTCCTTTTTTGAAGTGATTCCAATCATATATCAAGCAATTTAAAACCATCATGGCGAACAGTGCGCATCTGAAGTGTCTCAGCTGAAGGAAATAATCCATTATTTATCTGCTTTGGGCCGATGACATCAAAAATGCTTGAATTCCGTGTCCATGACGGAATGTCTGTTTGTTTTGGTTTGTGTGATCTCGCCTACTGCCAATTTACCCAATAGTATTTCGACACCACGGGTTGCCAGTTGGCGGAAAACAATGTATTGCAGTCATGAAAGCCAGCAAACAAACTAGTTCAGAGATCGCAGATTCTACCCAAACTAAAAAGCCTCTGCATCCATCTAAAAATCTCTATGAACGGGAGCATTTTAAAAGCAGATAAGTCAACTCCTCAACCTACAATGAAAGCCTCATCGCCTTCCTTTGTCAATTGCGCTCGCTCCTGTTACGTGTCCTCAATCTTGCAACCCGCGTAAGTGTCCTGTAAGTCTGAGGAGGAGGGGTTAGGAGAAACAAACCTCTCCTATATTTTGAATTTGGACTGCAGCACCCATTTCAACTGCTAGCTCAATATTACATACTGCACCTTTAAATTGAGGTAGTCCTTTAAACAATAAAAAAAAATTGGCCACATTACACTGTCTACACCGTACACAACCGGTGTCGCGTCATGCCGCAACAGCTATAAGCTGTCCACACTAGACGCAACAAAGCGACTGTTGCAAATCCATTTGTTCAAGTAGCACGAGCGTTTGAAATGCGTCATAAATAGAATGGTCATCATTTTACCGTTGGAGATTTGTAGTCGCGCCGCATCCAGTGTAGACAGCATCACTGATTCTAATGGGTTCTGTTTTCTTTTGTTGCGCCACGCTGCTCGCGTCTGTTGTAGACATTGTGTTAGTTTAATAGTATTCATGTTTTTTTTACATAGCCTGAGATTGTGTCTCCTCCACCTGTTCAAGAAACAGTGAGTGAACTGCAGATGTGTGTGTCTCCAGCTAAACCAAAGCCCGTCTCAAGCACATGCACCAGCCCCCACACCTCTGACCCGATCCAGATCAACTGCATCTATCCAGGTAAAGCACATCACTAGAAAGCATATATTAGGGCTATCGATTTAACATGTTCATTTAGTGCAATTAATAATGGAAAACATATATGTATATAGTAAAAACTCTGTATTTGTATATTGTTTAGTAATATTTTTGGGATTTTGTCATTTATTTTGGGCTATTTTTTTTTTATATATATATTTTTTAGAGAGGACAGAAGATAATGGGTTAGAATTAGTTTACATTTGAAATTCCAATGTACTCTGTTTGCTTTGAATTTGATGCAATCACTGCTCAGTTTTCCTAGTTTTTCCAGCTGTACCAGTCTATCCGGTCCAGCCCCCGTTTTCCCAGTTCATGAAGCATTTCTTAAGCAGTCCAGTCCCCGTGGGACAGGGTCCACACTCTCCGTTCTGGCAGCACACCTCTCCGTTAGCCCTGACACCAGCTGCGCGCATGTCTGCCGGAGCCAACGTCCTACACCGGCGCTCCAACCACACAGTCTGACCAGCCAGAAGCGGTGCGTGTGTTGGTGTCAGAACCTATTTTGGACTTTCGTTATGTTCAGTAACTTCTGTTCTTTCATTTCTTTGGCTGCAACATCCTATAAATATATCAAATGATATAATAAAAGCAGCGGAGGACACATAAGGACAAGTCAGAGCAGATATATCTCTTGTTCATTTTATCGTAATGCCTCTCCCAGCAGCAGATTGTTCTTTATTTTTATATATTTGCATACACAATGCTAAAGTTTTGTATGTTTTTATGTTTGCATTATAAACCAATTGGACATTTGTTTGTTTTATTTGTTAAGTTGCTTGTTCAGTGTTCAATTCAGAATTTTTCTTTTATCAAAAAATGTTTTATAAAGAAGAAAATGTGATAAAAAAAAAGGATACACTGAAAATTGTGTCTGTTTATTTTGTGATAATTGATTTTGCATTTAATATAATTTTAGGTGTGACATAAGTGTCTGAATACATTTTGGAGCCATTGTATTTGTATGAGTGCAGTTTACAGGCAAATTTACTGTCTCCAACTTATTTTCTGGGACCGTTCGCAGAAACTTAGCCGCTGCAGACCTGCGAAGGCAAGACATTGTCAAGCTTTCTTTTTCGATACGATCTCATACACACATGGACGTTCTTCCGATGTGCTGTTCCTGTTCATCTTACCCTGACCGATGTTGTCTAGTTACACTGGATCGTTTAGAGAAACGGTCAATGTTGTATACAATCAATGATTTTCCAACACCCCTGCTTTGTTTGTTTTACTTTACATACCTTCATTCAATTTCGCCCACTCTTGTTACTTGTTTTCTGCCTTTTGGCATATTTAGTTTGACCCAACATTCTCCGTGGGAGGATCCTTGCTCCGCTGAACATGTTGAAATATGAAATTACTCAAACAAGATGTCGTGTAACCAAGTGCATCCATAACATGCTGGATAAACAGCGGCCAAGGAAAGGGTGCAGGTTAACACCACTCCGTCGGTCCTGAATCTTCCTTGTTTGGTCCAATTACTGTTAATGGCATCTTAACAAGCTTTCTTTGAGATGCCTGGTATCTTAACAAGACCAGATGGAGAAGCGAAGAATATTACCTCATTTAAACAGGAGGAAAAAAAGCTGAATGTTGCAGAAACCAAATTAGCATTGGACACTAAGCTAATGAAGTTTAATTGAAGAAACACACTTTTCTGAGAATGAAAGTCCATTTTTGCCACATAAGGAAAAAAACCTGGTTTGGTCAATTTTGACTTTTTGTGTCCATTTCAGCCACATTTGCCACAAGAAAATAAATTGTGTTTTAGTAAATTATAATTATGACATAAGTCACAGTTATTGCCACAAAGTTTTAGTAATTTGTCCAAATATTTTGACGTCATAATTGACTATCTGATCATTAGTGTCAATTTTGTCATGACTCGTCAAAATCTTAATTTCGATTTGTCATAATTGACTTTATGACGTGATTTTGACTTTCTCATAATTACAACTTAGTATGTCATCATTTCTACTTTTTATTTCATAGTCATAATTATGAGATAAAAAGTCAGTTATGACAAGTCAAAATTGACAAGTCATGACTCTCATTATTTTGTCTTCATGTATTCATTTAATTATTCATAATTGACTTCATGCCATGATTTTGGCTTTATCTCACAATTACAACTTAGTCTGTCATCCTTTCTATTTCATAGTTATGACTTATGTCATGACATACTTATGTCAAGTCATTATTATGCCAAAATTCTGTCTTGTCATAATAGACTTTATCTCATAATTATGTTATCTGTTTTTATCTGTTCTTACCTCAATTTCAACTTGTCATACTTGTAAAATACTTGTAAAATAAAAAGTCCAAATTATGATGTACTATGTCATGACATAAGTCATAATAATAATGAACATTTTCTTTTTCATCTCATAGATATGACTTTGTATGTCATAATTAGGATTTACCTAATCTTTTGTGGCAGAAATGGGTTTCCAAATCTGAGTGGGGATTTCCAGTGCAAAACAGCCCTCTGCAATGGTAAAGTGGTTGATAAGGTGTGTAATAAAGCTCCCTAAATATGGCTTAGGATCCTCCTCCTGTCTGTCATTTTAAATGGTTCACAAACAAAGGAACAGGTGATTACTTTCATGAATAGTCTGATTGCATTTTCATTAACTGGTTAGTGTTATGAAATGTAATGCATGTCAGCATTTTTCACTATTTTACTGAATACTGAGCATAAAATCAAATCACACGCAGTCAAAAAGCAGTCTAGGCCTTTCCGCTCCCTGTTCCTTCAAGCTTATAATACGCTTTGCCACAGCTGATGAATTCTAATATCTTTTGCTAACCTCTGCCAGCTCCAATAATGGAAGATGAACCCGATAAGCAAAACAAGGCAGTGAGTCACTTTTGGTGGTGACACTTGTTTGTTGGAGCATTGCTAGTATGCCTATATCCATGGGACAAACCATCAAATTACACAAGGACTTTTCATTTCACATCATATCTCAGTATTCTGCCACTATGGAGCTTCAAAACAGACATTTCTGTGCAATTAGCATGATCAAATTGATTGTTTTATGATGTCTTTGTGTGAAGCTTGAAAGCTTACTGATATACTTTGAGAGCATTTGGAGATGTGCCTTTCTCATGAGCCGGATGACGTAGGGATTTTATGTGATTTTATGCCATTATAGAAGGGTCTTTGTACAAATGCAAGAGGGAAGGGAGCTCTGATAGGGATCGAATTAAAGCACACTGCTGCATGGCAAATCATATTACCCTGGTTAACTGACCCACACAGACCTTTTCCCTGCCAAGATGCCGCTGGTTACCATAGAGATGTTGTCCTACCTCCTGGTTTTCCTGTGATACTCTCTGGAAAAGAGTCGATATGTGGCCTACAATCTATCTAGATAGTAGTGATGTATGTCTCGAGACCGGTCTTGGTCTCGAGACCGGTCTCGAGACCACTTTTACGTGGTCTCGGTCTTGTCACGGCCTTGACGGTCTTTGGTCTCGGTCTTGTCTTGGTCTCGGACCTCTCGGTCTTGTCTAGGTCTCGCTGTCTCAGACCGACATAGTGGTCAGGGGATTGAGCAATACAATACTACAATATCCACGACCACGACGTTATCCGCAACGTATTGAAGCGCGCGTCCGAGTGAAGACAGTGCGGTGCGCGCGAGCCACGCGAGAAAACACTGTATCCGCGCCACTGATCGCAGCGGCAACGAGCACTTTGATCACTTGATTTAAAAAACACATATCATGTACAGTTTTTGATATATTAATATTTAGTAAAACACATATCAGTGACATGATGGGTTTTACCTTCATTCAGGAGATTTTGGGTAACTGACAGATGACTTTGAGCGCACCGCCAACGGTGTGTGTGTGTGTGTGTGTAACCATAGCGACAAAAACGACCAACTTTCGGATCCTGCACTTAAGCCTATAATTTCGTTTTTAAAAATATAATTATGTATTTAAAAGTTGCAGAATGGATTCATTTGGAGACTTCGAAATCAGCAGAGATAGGCAGGCAAATGCAAAACAACATTTGACAAGTTATTGCTTAGCTTCAACACTAATGTTTTTTTCCCCTCCGGTCTCGACTTGGTCTCGGTCTTAGTCTCGACTTGGTCTTGGTCTCGACTTGATCTGTCTTGGTCTTGGTCTTGGTCTTGTCTTGGTCTCGATACCATTTGGTCTTGGTAGTGTCTTGGTCTCGGTTTAGGCGGTCTTGACTACAAGTCTACTAGATAGTTTAATTTCGATTGAAAGGAGGAAAACACAGCACACTCCCAGAATATGGTGCGTCTCCACTAGCCTAGCACGGAGCAGAGCGAGCTGTTTCAAGCTCAACTTCCATTGGAATTAATTGAAACAGTTCGCTCTGCTCTGTGCCAGTGGTGCGCGCGTGCTCACGCTGTAGTGTGAATCTGGCGGTAGATCGCGTGTCCACAAAAAATAATAATAATGAAAATAACTTTCAACAAAACATTCAGGGAATTTAGAACGTTCTGGTGAAAGGGTGTATAGGCCTAGTTTAGAAATACGATTGAGAATGAATCGCTTGTTTTAAAAGACAAATAAATATTACTCCCCTGGACGTGGTGCCTGCCCCTCTGGGCACTTGACCAATTTGCCCATATGGTTCATTCGCTTACGGCTCTAGTCTACAATGATTATGATAATAAATTGAAACAATATAACAAATACCAGTTTGCAACATCAAGCAGCTTTTGTACAGCTACAATAACTAGAAGTGAATGACGCGGGAAGCTTCGTACATTAAATATAAGGTGGATATGGTGCTGGTTGAGGAGAGAACCCCTGATATAATTGTAAAGCGCTTTGGGTGTACAGTACATATGAAAGCGCTATATAAATGCCTCATTCATTCATTCATTCATTCATTCATTCATTCATTCATTCATTCATTCATTCATTCATTCATTTAATTAATGGTTACGTAAACCGGACTGGATCTGGAGCTGGAATGGTTATGGAACACTTTGAGCGGAGGGGAAATCGCTCCGTTCCACATACGTATTCCATTCAGGCTTTCAATGTGTGCATTGCTTGGGAGCGCGCAAAACTTGAAGATTTGGCTTCTTTTGGAGATTGTCAGAGAAGAAATACAAACGAACTAACCAATATTTGTCTGAAACGTAAATTGATCGATTTTAATGACTTGTTTATTGAATTATCATATAAAGCAATATAATTTACAGTCGTATTACTGATATTGCCATGTGGCACCACGGCCGCGATAGCTACTCTAGCAACACTTACTGTAGCCTGATTGCTTAAATAAAATCTAAAATAAGTGGAACATGTCTTTTGTTTTTATGATACGTTTGATACTTTCCAGTTTCCAATAACAACATAGATCTTCCCTGCCTGACATATGATCGCCTCTGACCTTTATAGAGTAACTATCCATCATCTGATGCTTCATCTGAGTGCGCGCGCGTCTCCTCCAGTCTCTCTCTCCACGCGCTGGGAGTAACTCCTCCTTTCGCTGTTTCTGCTGTACTTGCATGGGCATTACCGCAAGCTTGAGAAATCTAAACATGTAGCCCGACAGATTTCAGGTCTGGAGAACAAGTTATAGCCCCTTTTTGTGGAAATAATCGGATGAGAGATGGTGTGATTGAGCGTTTGTCTCCAGACCTCTGCATTCAGTGAAGGTAGGATTGGGTTTGTCTTTTCAGATCCTGGTTCTTGTTCATTTGTGTTTTATTTGTATTTTTCTTTAAAAATATATATATAGAATAGAATACTCGATAAAAACGGTTTCTTCGAAATGAATTTGATGGCATAATTTTGTATTGTAGGCCTATTAGCCTAATGACCTGATTAGTGTGCATTTTGTATTATTATTACTTT